AACAAAAAAAAATGGTAACCACCAATAAAAAAGAGGATAAGTTTTGGTCTTTTCGTTTAGACTTTGGTTTTTATTTAAAAAGCATTTCATTACATATTTAACTTAATTTTTAAAAGTTACAGAAAGTAAAAAGTAACCTTAAAAATATTAAGAATAAAACAAAAATGCTTAATTCCCCAAATTTAGGTGCAAATAGCAGATATCCTTCTCAAAAACTGCATTAAATATAAAAAAAGTTCTATTCCAAAGATTATTAATAGCATAGGAATACAAATTAGCAAAAAAAATAACTTAAAAATAACTTTGAGACAATCTATTTTCAGTTTTGTGGTTAGATAATGGTGGTTGTAATAAAAAATTATTCCCAAAAAAATTGTCAGAAATCAATGAAAATCCTATCAGACATACAGACTTAACAGAATGTTTGCGATAAGAAAAATTTGGATAGTTAACTATCCAATACTTTTTAATTATTTGTTTTCAATCAGTTTTTTTTAATCAATGCTTAGGCATTTCTTTTTGTAAATTAATATAAACGAGGCGAAGAGTTGTAGCCAAACCGAGATGCGACCAGGATGAGCAAAACTTAACAATGAAAAGCATTCAGCTCCGGCTTCGTCTTACATTTCCCATCTGCTCCGCATCTCCCCAGTCCTCTTTCTCTTCATGGTGATCATCTCCGCTTTAAACAATCACTTTCGGCCAGGGTTCAATGCACCCGTCAGCATAATACACTGGTTATATTAGTGGAGGTTCGTGCAGCCCCCGAACTGATGGTGATGATGATGATGATGGTCGTAGCATAACAGTCAAAACAACCGAAAAACCAATGATGGCAGAAAATAAACAACCATCCGTAATGACTTCGGCTACAGAAACGACAATAACACAACGTCGGCCGATAATAGCAACAATGTTGCAGCATTGGACTTATCGGGATTGTTGGGGCGCCGTAAACTTGGCTTATTATGGGGACACTGGACATATCTGTCTATTAGCTGATAGGGCCCCACTGGCGTCCATCGAGACAGAAGTATATGGCGAAAGTCGACTTTTTAAACATTAGTATTTCTTAGACCGCAGAATGAAAAATATGCATTTTCAGAAACTTGATCAAGAATGTCTCGAAGTTTCCCCTAATAACAACAGAGCTCTATTTTTTTAGATTATCCCAAACTACATTCCTTCCCTGTCTCTATCCTGGGAAATATTAAAAAAAAACTAAAAGCTTTTCAACCGTATCTTAATTAATGACTTTGTTCCAGGGATTCCAGGGAAATTTCCAAAATAAAATCGAACTTCTCCGTAAGCCAAGATTGCAAATTGCGAGGAACCGCTGGCGGAGTGAATACAGGAAACTAGCAACAAAAAAGTGTAATTAAGATAAAATTAGCAGTGAACAAAGCCAAAAATGCGCATAACCTGTGCGTGCGATTCGAGTGTTGCAATTGCAACTAACAATTGTTGCTTGCCTCCAATTATCATTTCTGCTCGTGTGTGCGGCGGATTTCACGGTACTCTATTGTTTTGCATTTTGCAATATAATGCAGAAAATACATCAATAACGAAACATGCAAACTTTTGTCTTCTTCTATTAGTGCCAGGGACACAGCTACAAACTAACGAAGCAACGGCAAACGCAGAGAACAAGAAAAATAAAATAAAATAATATATAAAATGCTGTTGCCACATCTTTATTTCTTTTTGATCGAAAATCACAATTTAAATAGCTCGCTTATGTCATCGCTGGGCTATTGTTCCCAACTGCAAATGGTGCCTTGTTGCTAAAATTAAATAAGCCATTCAATGCTTAGAAGATGACAAAATACCGCAAATACTTTTGTTCATAATACGGTGCAGCTGTTTTACTGCCAACCAAAACAATCTGCGTTCATTGATTGTTTAGCCAAATAAATAAAGCGAACAATATGATTCATCCCCAACGAGAAGCTGCTGAATATTGCCAAACTGTAAATGCTATTTACAGCGTAAATTCTACATAAGCTTTTGGCCGTTTTGGGTAGCAAAACTGTTGACAAAATTTGGTGTTTTATTATGCAATCAAGTTAATGTGTTAGGTGCCTTAGCATAACCCGTTCTTCGCAGTCTGAGAAATCCGAACTCCCTTGCGAAATTATATAAAAATGCTAATTGTGCTCAGTAATCGGTTTGGCCATAGATAAAGCTATAGAATCTCCATCCTTGCTAGACCTTGCCCTGATTCATTATGCATGTACATAAATTATAGAAAACCCGTAAATTATATGGCCAAGTGGATGGATGGCAAGTGGTTAGCCTTTGAATCTGGCCAAATAAGCAGGAACATTAGGTGAAATTAGACCATAAATCGAAAAGATCGCAACAGTTAGCCTACCTTTGATAATGTAGTAAATTCTTTTTAAAATAACACGTACGTAGAAAATAAAAAAAGGGAATCTTCATGTAAAGAAGGAAGGCTTTAGACGACTATGACATACCAAACATATTTTATATTTCATTAAATATAATCAGAAATAGCTATATAAATAGGAATGTTCATATATGTACATGAATGTATACGATAATAATAATAATATCTGAATCTCTACAACTAAATGAAATAAATATATTTGCACTGCAAATGTAATTTCCTTTTCTAAATATTGGTATTCTTAACAAAAACATTATCATCCCTATTTTTGATACAGAAAGTTCTCAGTGGGAAAGCTCAAAATATTTCAACTATTTATTTTAATAAACACAAATCTGAAAGAAAATTACCCTCAAATGCTGTCAGTTCACACTTCGACCTTTCACATTTCGACAAAAATAAATGTATAGCAACTAGTGATACGACAACAAAATACTCTGTTCTTATCTTAAGAGCTAACCATATCTACCCTTGCTTTAAGAGTTAAATTAGAAAATTCTTAATCACAAAGTATGTATGGATATTTATTTATTTTTTAAATTGTAACATTATATAAAGTTACTTTTTTAGCCTTCATATCCTATTGAATCGACTATAAAACTGTAACTTGTACCACTGGAAATTTCTTTGGATTATGTATGAAATGTGCTTATCCGTGGAATGTATTTTTCGACGTATTAAAAACTGCGCCTCAGCATTTCTGAATTGTAAACAATCCATTCAGAGGGGCAAACATAAACGAAATTTATTAATTAAACTCAAAAAGGAAAACCAAAAGTGCGAAATCGTTTACTAAGAAACGAGCAGAGGCCAGAGAACGGAGACGAAAAATTCGATGTCGAGGCCAGCTGCAAAAATACGAGCAGACTTATATTTACATTTTGGCCAATGAATGAAATATATTTTCCCCGTCTGTTTTTCTCTTGTTTTTGCGAAGCTTTCAGTTCAAGGCCAAGGGGGCGTTTGATATAGATAAATTCAAACCGATAATGTGACACAAATACACTAAATATAAAAATGATTATTCATATTTATCTATATGTTTAAATGGAGGAATGAAAATAAAAGTAAAATGCCACCTACATTTCCCAAACCAATATTTACTCCTCCCAAGGTCAAATGCCGCATTGTCATTTTTTAAAAATAATTATATAAAATATTATAAATATTTTTTGTATTTTTTTTCACATAAAGAGCATTTTCCATAAATTACTAAATGCTAATTTCAAAGTAACAAATTAACATAATTTTGTCTTTTACAAAACTGTTAAAAATTAAGCATAAAATGGCGAATGGCAGACTTTAATGATCCACTCGCTCTGACAACTGATTGAGGGTTTTGTAAAACTTATGCTCAGATAGTTTGACTGATTTCCCTTAATTTTTTTTTTTTTTACGTTTCATAATTTTGTTATTTTATAATTCGTATGTATGTGTAAACGGAAAAAATAAAGATTAGCGATATTTTTTTCTCGTTATATCATGCAAAATGATGAAAGTTTTTGTGATAGTTTGTGAAGCCATACAAGTAGAGCAAAATGACAGTTAGATGAATGCATTTAGATTCATAAAATGGCATTAAATTTATACTGTAAGCTTATAAATCATTTTATTTTTTAGAAACAAAATACATTTTTACGATAAAAAAGTATCATAACTCAATAATTTGTATATTTTCATTGCCATTATATCTTTCTTTTGTCTTACTCTTTCTTATATATCCGAGTCACAGCATACTTAACCTTACAGAAATAACCGTAGAATTTTCACATTCACAGTTAAGTGATAAAAAGTTTTAGCGGTCATTTGCTAGCGAAGACGAAAAACGTTTTTCTCGTTTTGTTTTTTAGCTGAACAATGACAAAATCGTATGCTCATGTCTGTTGGCCAGTTCAAAATGGAACAGTTAAGTTTGTCTAGTTAGTGACCAAGCAAAAGTAGGGATAATCTAGGGAATAATTTGTGTATATTTATTATACCATGAAGCAGCAAAGTGTTCTCCTTAGTAATTTTAACAAAATATCATTATGTTACCTGAAAACAAAATTTAGTTTTTAAAGGCAAGTTTCTCGCTTCCCCATCAAGACGCTGACGACACCCGGCGGACCTTTGTATTCTATCTTAAGTATTAAATATGACCGGCTTTAACCCACCACAAAACAAAGTCCATCCTTGTGTAGCGTGTTCAACAAATATATGTACAAAAAAAATATTTAATCTTAAATCGGTTGTTTTGGATAGGACTATAGACATTCCTTTAATTCTATGCTAAACAAGTCAAGAGAAAGTCTAAGAATAATTTTAATTCTTTCTTTTCTATCCAAGAGCAAACATAATAATCGTAAGGTGCGGTAGAGACGACAATGCATTAAACACAATAGATCCTTATGTATTTACAAAAAACTAAATTTATAGTGAAAGGCCTACCAGGGCATTAAGTAATGTTCAGTAGAACAGTTGAAACACAAATATTTTTATTAAGTTAATCCTTTTATAAATTAATCCTTTAATCCGTTTTATCTGTATTGGAAAAATTAAAAGACCTATAAAAATCAATTACATTTAATAACTTCAATGTTTCTATTTACAGATCCCAACGAATAACACTTCGACCAATATCCCACTCAGTCAAGGAATTTCAAAAGGTAAGCTGGTTGTATATAAAATAAACAAAGTCCCCGACATCCACTCAATCGCGCAAAAATTTTAGCCAAGGGTCGTTAATCAAAAGGCATCAAAATAAAACGCACAGTTTGCCGTCTCACACGGCGCATTGCATCATTAACGTTGAATCAGCAGCTATGGGATACTATGTATATACTATAGGGGCGCATGCATACCTGCCAGATACAGATACTTATAGATCACAGAGTCAGCTCAGTGAGTGCACCGAGTGAAACAGCGTCAAATTGCATTTAAATTGAATGAAATTAATTTGACATGCAAGCTGTGTTGATTTGCCGCCTGAACTCAACTCGAGACTTGTCTGCTTTCAACAAAGCGTTATAGTTACATGTGTACAGATACGCACACACTGTAGGCAGCCAAAGATACAAGATACAAGATACACAAACTGCAACCAGATAAAAGGCAATGCACATGTCGGGCGAAATCAAAATGACAGCCAGTCCATACGGAGAGAAACCTATAAAGGGTAAAAAATATAGAGAGCTGGCAGGAACAGGCGAGCATAGATAGGTGGATTCTAAACGCATCCACCAGATACAACAGCCTTGGGCAAAGGAACGGTTCAGTGTGTTGGGTTGCCTGCCGTACCGTCTGTTTTGTGCTTTCTTTTAAAAATAACTTGGAAAATGATATATGCCACGATGCCGGGCTCCCCTGTTTTCCAACCCAATTTCTGTTCCTGCTTATGGAATATTATCATCAATTTTTACACAGAGACAAACACCTAAAACACAAAACATAAAAATTAAAATAACACATAATCCATAGAGTCCGTTTTAACGTGATCCGGTATTCGGAAAGTAAGAAAGTAAACAGTGTCTTAAAATTTGCAGTGACAGTTTTTTATAAATTTGTGATGGAGAAAATAATTATTAAAAAAATAAAGACTTAATGAGTTGCTCTTATGATGGTCTCCAAGTAAAGCCAATGAATGAGTCATGAGTAATTTGTATATTTAATATTGCTAAATAAAATCGAATTTTCTGTACAAAAAACCGATTTCATTACCTGAAAAACTTACCAAAGGAGAAAGGACAATTTTAAGCAGAATAAAATTATTTTCGAGTCTTTTATTTTTAATGCTTGCTGGGATAAGTCAGCCATAACAGATTTACAATTTAATTTTAAGAATGTTTAGAAAAACATTAATAGCAGGACTGCAAAAATCTGCATATCGTTAAAGTAACCAATGATATTAAATCAGTTGAAAAGTATTTCCCTGATGATATTTCTTATGACGAGCGAAATTGAAAAACTTATACCAAACCGAAGCAAAAATGTTGTCCTTGTGTATATCAGTATTACTCTGCCTTTTTTAGTTTCAGCTGCAATGGCCTGGTGATTGCGTAGGCGTTTTCAGATTTTGCATTTTGATTTCCTTCATTTATAGCACTTTGCTGCCAGCTTTTTCTTCCGTTAGCTTTTAGTAATTTCTCGCCTAGCGTTTTGTTGCCTCGAGTCGTTGAGTCTTGTATATTGTTAGTGGCCTAGCATCTGTATGAGCAGCGAGATATGTATCTGCAGTGTATAGCATTGACTTTGGCAGGCGGATAAATGAATGATTGCCTTGTTCGTTGTCATCTCTGGTCCCCGATCGCTTTGATCTCGGCTGCAGTGTGGGATTGTCTGATAGAACGATTTCGGTTGCCTCCAAGGTTAGTCTCCCAATGAAATATTGCTTGTTTAACTTTTCGGCGTCGGAGTTTCTGCACGATTTGTTTTGGTGGGCTGTGATCAATTGGTTTTTATTTGTTGGGCTAGTGTGAAAATTATTCGTATGCCCACTATCGATAAGTTAAGTATGGCGCGTAAAATTAAACAAGATAAATAAATAAAACAAAAAATTAGATGTTGTTAAATTTTTTATTTATTTTTATGGCCTTATTTATTTTTATACCTTTTATTCGAATTTAATTGTCGCTTTATCAATTTTGTATAAAGAATAAGCTGAAAAAGCAATATCATATCTTCCATTTAAAAGAGAGAACTTTCAATGGGGTTTAAACGTAGTCAGCTACTAATTTAGTTCCAAACACTTCACTTAGAAATGGGTGACCGGTTTGATTCGAGATATGTATTTTTACAATCTTTGTATAGCATATAATAATTTATTATACCGATAATACAGATCAAATCCTAAATAATATCTCAACACTTGATAGCCATTCACATACGGCCTTTAACGGCAATTTGATTCAATTGTTTATCAATTTGCCGAACACATTTGAAAATGCCATTTGACCAATTTGCTTATAAGTACCCACATTAGGCACACATTCCTTTGAAAATCTTTTGGGCTGGGCAATTTTGTGGGTGGCCGTTAAAACCGCACCCAAAATTTAACAGAACTTATTTGTTGCGTAATCGACGCTGGCATTCTAAAATATATTTAATTCACATTTTCCGAGTGGCTTTGTGATTTTTGGTTTAATTTGGATAAATCGCTTAGGCACAAAAATTACAATCCTCGCTGCACATAAGCGATGCTAAATCATTTTACATCGGCGGACGACGTTTAATTAACCATGAAGCTTGACAATCGAAGGCAAAGCTTAACCACAAAACTGAAATTAACCAAAGAAAAGTATCAAGCGAGAGCCCCTCACCTGTCGGCAATATACAATTTCAGCGTTTGCAAATTATTTCGCATATTCGCCGCTGAGAACAGAAAAGCACGGCTAACACCTGAGACGTGAGAGGGCGCGGCAGAGCCTCTAAGCCAACTCGGCATTCGCAAATCCGTACGAGTATCTCTGCACGTTTGGATCTGTAATTCTCCCCCGCCCCAAACTTTGCCGCAATTCAAAACGCGTAATTGTTACACCCTGATTACGCGACCGCAGCGAAACACAAATTAAAAAGTAAGACGAAAAATAAAAAAAATACACCGGAAAATATTTGTTTAATCGATTGTTTTTCGTTAACAAAAAACCAATAGATTTTTAGTCAATGGTTTAAATCAAATGTCTTCTGGGGAATATGAATGATTGTAGCACATTAGGACTAATGAATTAGTAATGAATAGTTTGAGTTGACAAATTCATTTTTATGGATTAATTTTTATTTGTCTCTACAATTTTTTGTTTGCGACGTTCATTTTGGTCACAGATAAAGATTAAGTCCATGAAACAATACAATTCAACTACACTGTTCACATACACTCCACATTACTTCCCCCGCCGGTAGATGGCGCTCGGCCGACAATTTTTGCCAAGTTTCACATTTTCAGGTCGTAGTGCGTGGGAATAAAGGGGTATGGAAGTTTTGGGCGAAGGGTAGGGGATCAGCAGCCAAGCCAGACTATCATGCTTCGCTGGGTCGCTTAAGGTATGAGAGCAAAAGTATTTTGCATGGCACTTGTGGGGACGCGGATGTGTAGAGCGGGATGAAGCCTTTAAGTTGCAGTTAACTGATGTAATAATGGGATTGGATGAGAAAAAATGCAGTGGAAAGTTAGTAGAGTGAATTTCTGGATTTCCTTGACGCAGATGAACCTTTCGAATGGAATATTTTAAAAGATATAAAATCTTTTGCTTCAATAGTGTAAGTTAAATTTGCAAAAACATTATAAACTAGAATATCGATGTTCGCGATGTATTGTTCAAATCGTCTACAATTTGTAATATACTTAAATTAACACTGAAACTTCTATACATTTTAATAAAATACATTTTTTGTGTATGTCCATAATACACACTAATATTTATCCGAAATACATGATAGAAAGAAAATAAAATATAAAGATTTGTGCACTTCGAGTACATTCTTTAGATCAGGTTTTATAAATAATCGAAAAATAGCTGCAAGGGGAACGATTGGAAAATCGGCAGAGCTTCATTGTTTTTAAATATACCGGCATAAAAATTAAAATATTTAGTTTGTATAGGAGCTGCAAAGTTAGTTAAAATTATTGCAAGCCAAAGTTTCATTCATTTCTGGTTGTTTTTCAGTTAAAACCGACTTTTGTCTTTCGCTGGTAGATAAGTAAGATTTCTTATGATCTGTCCGAATAAATATTTTTTGATACCCATTAGTGCATGCACCCTAGCAGTTTAACAAACACCTATCTGATCTGTAATAAATAATTCCCTATCGATTTTGATCGTAAGTGAAAAGTAAGCTCTAAACCGGCAAATATCGATCGCCCCACTAAACGCAAAAGCGAAACAAAATTGTTCCACTTCAGTTGAGGAACACAAAAAGAAAAAAAATAAAAGAAACACAAAAACAAGAATTAGAGATCAACAACAGCACAAAAGTAGTTTAGAGGAAAATTAATTTTGCACGATCATTGTGCTGATTCTACTCATTGAATTCTATTTGTAATTGTGAGTGTGGTGTATCTGTGTACCGATGTATTTGTATCTGCGAATGAAATGGAAACTAAGTATTGATTGCAATTGAAAACTGGAACTGGGGGAAGTGGCCGAGCAAATTGAGAAAACTGGCTTAAATTATAGGCAATGCCGTTCCGCAGAGGAAATCACTCCTAATTACAAAAATCGTCAGTTAGCATTAAGCAATGGCTCTCAAACTGTAATTCAGTTTCGTGTATTCTTCTTGATATGCCTTTAATAGTCGGCTGGCATTGGCTCTTGAGAAAAATTTAAGTAAACAACAGTTTGCATTTTTTCTTTATCTTTTTCGAAGTTTTTTTTCAATATATTTTGCGCTTTTAATGGGCAACTAATACTAATTTATTTAATTATTAATATATTCCTTATAATTAAAAAGAAAACTTTAAGATGAATCAGATGTTGGTGACTGTTGTTTTGATTTGTTTTTTTATACCCTTGCAGAGGGTATTATAATTTTGGTCAAAACCGACCCTATAAAGTATATATATTCTTGAACAGCCATGTCCGTCTGTCCGTCTGTCTGTTTCTACGCAAACTAGTCTCTCAGTTTTAAAGCTATTGAATTGAAACTTTGCACACACCCTTCTTTCCTTTGTACGCAGTATATACATATGTCGGAACGGCCGGGATCGGCCGACTATATCCTATAGCTGCCATATAACTGATTGATCGGAAATGCCATAACTTTGGTGTTTGTAAAGTTAGGAAGTTGGGATTTTCTATGGGCTATCAAATTTCATAAGGATCGGCCGACTATATCCTATAGCTGCCATATAACTGAACGATTGGAAATGCCGTAACTTTGGTATTTTTATACCCGTTACTCGTAGAGTAAAAGGGTATATTGTATTCGTAACAACTAGAAGGAAGCGTTTTCGACCCTATAAAGTATATATATTCTTGATCAGGGTCACTAGCCGAGTCGATATAGCCATGTCCGTCTGTCCGTCTGTCTGTCTGTCCGTATGAACGCTGAGATCTCGGAAACTATAAAAGCTAGAAGATTGGCATTTTGCATGTAGATTCTAGGAGTTCCTACGCAGCGCAAGTTCATTTCAAAAAGGTGCCACGCCCCCTTTAACGCCCACAATCGCTTATATACGATTTTAAAAATTTAAATATTTCGGAAAAGTAAAAATGCAGTTTTATTGTGTTTATCAATACCTATCGAAATGTTTTTCAAATCGGACCATTCGTTAAAAAGTTATGCGTGATCAAAGTTTCTATCTCCATCTCCCTCGCACTCCCTTTACCTGAGTAACGGGTATCTGATAGTCGGGTCACCCGACTATAGCGTTCTCTCTTGTTAAAGTTAGGAAGTTGGGATTTTTTATGAGTATTAAGAATGCATCAAATGAATAATTTTGGAGAATATAATTTACAGAGTATTCTGCAAGGGTATATCAACTTCGGCTCCGTCCGAAGTTAGCTTTCCTTGTTATTTGCTTAAAATAGTACAGCGAGGCACTTACGTAAATTGGAAAAAAAAATAAAAAAGGACTAAAATTTTAAATCAGATGTGTGTTTTAAATGGCTTATTCCCATTTAAAAGTTGTGTAACAGCCATTCATCTGTATTTGCCGACTAAATTATTATTGAATGTAAAGTTGAAGTTCATTTAAAAACAAATTTTAATAGTATTTTTTATTAGAGAGGTTAATAAATGCTATTGCTCAAGTAAAAAGTTTCAGTTTTGGTCCCTTTTTAATGAATGAGTTTCTAATATATGTATTTTTTTATGGGTCCAGAATAAAAATCTTTATTAAGGGAATTATAATTATTATTGAAAATTAAAAAATGTACGCTTTAACCTTATCGACTGTTTATTAAATTTAAGCTTCCCGTAACATATAAAATGCGAGATTACCTATTTGAGTGAAATTCACCTAACTTATACTGATATAATTGATTACAGTATGAAAAATGAACATGGGTAAATTTGAATATAACAATAAAGAAGTCCGTGAAAGTCAGAGTTTTAATCGGACTGTAAAATTGAACAAATCGAGATGCTGAACATTTTGTAACCGCCATAACAGGGTTCCAGTTTTTCTATATTTCTAACAATATTGCCAAGTACATTTCTTTGGCGCTTTACAAACACTTTGTCAAGCGTTGAAATCGCAACATTCTGCTGAATGGCTATAAATTCCTTTGACATCCTCGCCAAAACTCCTGCTTCGATTCATTGACCCAAACGCGGGCTGAACCCCGACCAAGTTCAAGTGCGCCCCACACTCACTGGCGGCTGCCATGACCACATGAACATGACAACATCTGCTCGGTCTGGCAGGCCAGCAATCAAGCTGGGGATGCGGTCACATTGAAGTTATGCCGGCCGGTCGAAGGGAGAACCTGAAATCAAGTCTGCTTAGTCATCGAACTTGGCCTAATGCAAAACACAGGCAGCCGACTGCCGACTTGAGGATGACTCAGCCCCGGACTGGCAAAAAAAAGCCAAGCAAAACAAAAAGAAAGAAGGAAATGTGCTACCAGTTTAGCTCACAGAGCCAAGAACAGAAGATCGAACGCTGAGCTGGCCCGATGCTTCTGCTGTCCTACTCCACTTCTTCGTGGATCCGAGATTTCAGTGTGTAGTTGGTTGTTGGTAGTGGTCTGCTGGTTGCTGGTTGTTATGCCCAGTCATGGTTTGTCGGCTCCGCAACGAACGCACGCCCTCAACAGGAGATGTATCTAATGGATGCCTTGCACTGGGAAAGGTCTTGGGCAGAGCAGATATTTGAAATCATTTGAAAATCTGCCCGATTGGTGATCTTAATCGGTAGTTGTTACTAAAATATAACGAACACTCTGTTCTTGTAGAGTTTTGAGCAGGGAGGAGCAAACTTTTTTGATCCCTAAAATGTATATTTCTAACCATCTTCATCAACAAGAGGATCTCTATAACTTAAATTGTAAGAACAATGTGATTTCTTACACAGAGATGAATGATAGAGGTAATGTATTAATTAGGTTGCTATAGACCTAAATGGAACATAACTTTTATAACACACCGAAAAAGCTAATTGTTTCTCTTAGTGCATGGCCACATTCCTGCCCCGAATACCTTTCGTACGTGTTGTGGTGTACAACCCTCAATTAGTTATTCATATAACGTGCTAAACAAAAATGTAAAAAATGCAAAAAAAATGACAAAGGCCACCCCCACTCCGCGAGTTGATTAAGGCCCGCATCCAGCCGCATTGGCTACTTATGTCTGCGAGGGCGAGCTCATCCTCATCTTCGCCATCATCCGCATCCTCGCTCGCATCCAACAACTCGAACATTGTTTGCCTGTCTGGGCTTTGACAAAACTTTGCATGTCATGTTGTCATTATGGTTCCTTACCCTTTCTTGCTTCCACGGAGCCCTAACTCCCCTCTTACATGAGCGGATCCTTTGGCTGACATTGTTTGTCTACTTTGGGCTGTGGTGAGCTCTTCGTGTCTGCCGGCAGCCGGATATTCATAGACATTATAGACACTTATCATCGGTTTAGGCTTCACGCCTTTTGTCTCACCACCAGCGAAGTTTACATAGTCCCTTTTCAGCACCTTATCCCCCCATTTGCAAACCGGGATCACTCTCTGCTTGTTCAGCATATTAAAGTTGTTGAAAGCGTCTTCTTACCCTGCATAAAATTCCGTCAACGCCTTTTGAACCCCATGCGGAGAAAACATTGGGTAGTCTCAGATTTTAATTTTTGAGAGGAACAGCAATTGAAAGCTTTCATTTTTGGTTTTAATATATATGTTATAAGTCTTGGCTTAGCTTAAAAAGAAACAGATTCTAATTAAGTTCCCAGATAGCTTGTTAGACGCAACATTATTAGCCATTACAAAAGCCTACGCGTATTTAGGTCACCCCTATTCGCAGAGGCCTTCATCTGGATGTCGGGATCCAGGCCCAATCGCAGGCATATATGGGACTAAGAGAGCAATAAAACTTCATAAACTGCAAACTGTGTCAATGGAACACAAAGAGCCTTCTTTGTTTGCGGTCGGGCTGATAACAATATCTGAAACTGTCCAATAAAAATCAAAGCCATACAGTCTATAGCCCCATAAACGTAAACAAAAATCGTTATTGATTTGAGTCTGCATTAATTGTTGTTCAGTTGATAATGTCAAAAGACCGTAAAAAGTGTTTGCATAATCATGGAACCCACAACAACACCTTGCACAATTTGACCACAATGTTGTATTAATTCGAGATACGAGAGAACTGCAATAAGTGGTTTGTTTGGCATTCAACTTTGGCATTTCGCTGTGGCTTTATTTTAAGTTTTGTTAATGTAATCGGATTGGTTATGAAATGATGTTGGGCCCACGCCACTATTGCACACCCAACTAAGAAAGTTCAAGTGTATGACGACACGATGGCTGCACTCAGAACCAGCCAAAAAGTATCTGACAGATACACACGTCGGTGAAGTGACTGCATCGCTGCCTTGGATTGCTTGGCTTGCCTAACAAGCGGAAAGCAAAAACATAACAGTAAAGTAAATTAAGTAAAACCACACACCAGCAGCAGCAGCCACATCAACAAAGAAACAAATGCACTGCGGGCAAAAGAAAAACCGGACAGAGCCTGGTCTTAGATGAGAGTAAATGTTGGTCTACAGTGTCCGAGAACAGAGAGTGTGGAAATATACACATATATACAAGAGGGAGGGGATGGCCGGCCGTCTCATAACAAAAGTGGCTGACCTCGAGAATTCTCGCTTACATTAGAAGCCAAAGAGATCACTCAAATGTATCTGAATCTAAGTCTAAATCAGTAACTGGCCGCTCGTCGCATTCTTGTTCTTCTTACCATCGCTTTGGGCTTCTTCACCTATGTCCAATTCATATGCCTAAAATTGGTAGCTTGCCTCAGAAGTTGGATATATTCTTTTGGGGCGAGCAGTTGGTTTTGTTTATCTTTCGATTGCGGTCTGCTTGCGATCGCTTGTGCTGGTATATTACTGTCAATAGGAATTTTATTAGCGCCTCTAAAGGCGACTTCAAGACCGGGTTTCAAAAGCATTTGTTGAAAAAATCTCAGTAATTCGGTTAGGCGTTCTTACAGAAGCTTGGTGATAATCAAACATATAAAAAATTGTATTTTCTTTCTTTCAGATCTTACTCTAAACTGTGACAATAACTACATTAGACCAAATCGGTAAGTAATGCTCTCCTCAACATTTAATAAAAAAATATCCCTTACAATCACTATTACATTCGACCCACATTAAATCAATTATCTTGCAAATCGTTCACTCGCTACGATGTGTTCACGTTTGAAGTGAAACCAACAAAGATTAGCTCAGATAAGTCGAAAACCAAATGCAACATTTATATTTTAATTTGTATACTCTTTCGATAAGTCTTTTAATTTTGGTCAAATGTTTGACTAATTGTCGATTAGTATTGTATAATATTATAATATTTTATACACTCAATTTATTTCTTGTGTAAGGGGATAATCTGATTTGCAAAATTGACATAACTTTGTTATAAGGTACATTGACATATACATTTTTCGTTAAGCTGCACAAGTTTTTCTGTTCGCCAAAGTTAGCCTCCTTTCTAGTTTTTATGAGCTTTTGTCAAAGAAAAAGTGGTGTACAACATCCGGCACCAAAAGCATTACACAAGTGCTGAGCGATATAAAACATTCAACAAAATAATTACAACGTAACATCCGTTATAAAAAAAAAGCTCTTACAAGAAAATATATTGTGAGTTATATGTATAACTTTTGAAAATTGAGTTTACGGTGGTCCAGCAACTTTGAACTAAGAAATTAAATAAGAAACAAGAAAGGAAAGCTAACTTCGGGCGGAGCCGAAGTTGATATACCCTTGCACGCAGTATATAAGTAGGAACGGCCGGGATCGGCCGACTATATCGTACAGCCGCCATATAACTGATTGATCGGAAATGCCATAATTTTGGTGTTTGTAAAGTTAGGAAGTTGGGATTTTTTATGAGTGTTAAAAATGCATTATATGAATAGTTTCGGAGAATATAATTTACAGAATATTCTGCAAGGGTATATCAACTTCGGCTCCGCCCGAACTTAGCTTTCCTCTCTTCTTTTAAATTAAAAAAACGTAGTTTTTAGGAAAAGTACAATTGAAACGAATTGGGCTGGTTAAAGGTGGGTAACAAGAACTACAGATATTGTACGATGAATTGCACCACATCAAGTCGAATAAATTGAAATTAAATTCTTCGCCCCTAAAAGTAAAATCGTTAGCGTTTTTTGTTAAAATATATATTGTTTGGAAATAATAAAAATCATACCATTTTTTACCTTTGCTTAATTTTTTTTGAGAATGTCTTCGACAAACGTAAAACTGACATTTGTATCGAATTGCAATTTTCGATCTAAAAACCACCCCATAGTCAACATGTAATCGCCAGTTGGAAGCGGAAGCCGTAGTAGTTCGTACTTTAGATAAAAGTCCTTTACGATCTGTGTACCCTAAAATAAAAGTTAGTGAGATGTAGAACAAATGTGTTGAAACTCTTACCATATAGGGGCATGTGTGGTTAAAATTTGAAAATTCCTTAAAAAGCCCGAAGACAAGTGTTGCAAATGGATTGGAACGGTATCGAATGAATTGACACACATCTAATTTTTGGTCAAATAGCCATGGTTTGTAGCCATTGGCCCTCTTTAAAACTTGTATATGAAGGTGTATATCATAAGCTGGGTGTAAGATCGTTCCGTTCATATTAAGAAGCACTTTGTTTCGACTCACAGCCTTTAAGCGACAGTTGTGAAACACAAACCAAGATGTGTTGTAGCTCTCACAAATGAAGTTCGTAAACTTAAATACGACCGCGTTCTGACAATATGAATTAGTATTCACTCCATATATGAGTTAATTTAACGGAAGGACTTACGTTCAATCCTGTGTTATAAGTTAATAATACTCCGCAGAGAGCCGGAATGATCAGCAAAGCCCGCATCGCAGAAATGTGTTTAAATCAAAATTGTTCCGTTCTTTATTTTTTTTCCTTAATTACTTCCGTCGCATTTATAATTGTCATATATTTATTCACTTTAATTTTTGTTTCCAGTATGATGCGTTTAACTTAAACATTTTGAGAACACTTATTTACGCTTTATATTTATACCCTTGCAGAGGGTGTCATAATTTTGGTCAAAAGTGTGCAACGCAGTGAAGGAGACATCTCCGACCCTATAAAGTATATATATTCTTGAATTATTATTGCTGAATTAATTTTATTATTTTTGTTTCAAAATTGCTTAGCGTAATTGCATTATAATAATTAGTTTTGGTAAATTCTAGGTAGTATCGAATATACATTTGGATGACTAAAAACTATTTAGAAATGTGAATATTTTTGCTTTAATTTGGGTACTATATACAGATAGAATGTATATAAATATTGTTTGGTGCTGGCTTGTTGCTCAGACCAATTAGTTCAAAGCATTATTTGTCTTTAACAAGAAAGGAAAGCTAACTTCGGGCGGAGCCGAAGTTGAAATACCCTTGCAGAATATTCTGCAAATTATATTCTCCAAAATTATTCATATGATGCATTTTTAATACTCATAAAAAATCCCACCTTCCTAACTTTAAAAACACCAAAGTTATTTCATTTCCGATCAATCAGTTATATGGCAGCTATAGGATATAGTCGGCCGATCCTTATGAAATTTGATATGTCGAATTGATTGGGCAAAACTAAAACCCATAGAAAATCCCAATTTTCTAACTTAACAAACACCAAAGTTATGGCATTTCCGATCAATCAGTTATATGGCAGCTATAAGATATAGTCGGCCGATCCTTATGAAAATTGGTAGGTCGGATTAATTGGCCAAATATAAAACCCATAGAAAATCCCAACTTCCTAACTTTACAAACACCAAGGTTATGGCATTTCCGATCAATCAGTTATATAGCAGCTATAGGATATAGTCGGCAGATCCTTATGAAATTTGGTACGTCGGATTGATTGGCCAAATATAAGACCCATAGAAAGTCCCAACTTCCTAACTTTACAAACAGCAGAGTTATGGCATTTCCGATCAATCAGTTATATGGCAGCTATAGGATATAGTCGCCCGATCCCGGCCGTTCCGACTTATATACTGCGTGCAAAGGAAAGAAGGGTGTGTGCAAAGTTTGAATTCGATATCTTTAAAACTGAGAGACTAGTTCGCGTAGAAACAGACAGACGGACAGACAGACGGACAGACAGACGGACAGACAGACGGACAGACAGACGGACAGACAGACGGACAGACAGACGGACAGACAGACGGACAGACAGACGGACAGACAGACGGACAGACAGACGGACAGACGGACATGGCTATATCAACTCAGGAGGTGATCCTGATCAAGAATATATATACTTTATAGGGTCGGAGATGTCTCCTTCACTGCGTTGCACACTTTTGACCAAAATTATAATACCCTCAGCAAGGGTATAAAAATTGCTCCTGTGTGTCAAAGAGTAAGCCATGGTGGTGTAAGCGTTATGTTGCAGAGGGCAAGGGTATAAAAATTGAAAAAGGCGAAACATTAATTAATTTAGTTAAGAGCTTCATGTAGGTTTTTACGTAGTGTTAACAAATGATAGCCAATCATAACGAACAAACAATTTTTATGCTAATATTGGTACCTGAACTTTTGTTTTTGAATAGACCCCAAAGTCAATTTCATGGGCCCAAACAATGAAAATCCATTGGGCTGTGTTGCATGACCAGCGATGCGCACAAAAATAAAGTTTAGTTTTTAATGCTTCGCACAGGCCGCCAAAAAAAATGTATAAGAAGAATATACTCCCTTGTCCCAAATACGGAGCTAGAAAACGAACACCTAAAAGCTACGGGAAAGCATGGCGTGGGTCTTGTTATGGTTTTGGCCTCTATGGCAGATTCTGGTGGGGCAACCTCGTTTTTATTGACGGATCCATGAGATGGCCTAGATGTACCTAAAAATTTTAAAAACTGGGCATACGCGATCGATTTCGGTATTACCAGGATAACGATCCTACACATTCAGCAGCAATTGTGAAGACTTGAAACTGCCCTCACGTAGTGAATCCACCTGCCCAGTCACCAGACCTTAACGTCATTGAAAATTTGTGGGCAGTTTTGGATCTCGGCATCCCCAAGAGTTCAATATTTAATTAATTAATGATCTTAAAAAGGGCCTCTTGGGATAATGGACCAAGATTCCAAAGGAGATCACAGAAAAGTTGGTTTCTTCGATGCAAACTCGATTGAAGGATGTCATCAAACAGAATGGATGCCTCACAAAGTATTAAGTTATTTAATAGTCAATATATTTAATATGTTTGGAAATAATAAAAATCTATAGAATTTTTTGTTTAATATTGTTTTGCACGAAATAAGCTGGAACATAAAAAAGTCAGTAACTTTAGTTTTTCTTAGTTTTAAGTGTTATCTAATGGAGTTTAAAAATAATAAAGTGCCTTAATGAATGCCAAAATACTACCAAAAATAACTGCATTTAAATCTTTTATATATTCCGTATAGTTTGCCAACTATATTAGCCACTGTACATACATTTGCACAGGGTCGAAAACACTTAGTTTTCCTGAAACATACTTTTTAAGAAATATAAAGTATATCTTTGAATTTATTTAATATGTATTAAGAAATATTAATGCTTTTATAATTATTTATATTGGAGTCATCTCGAAACAGATTGTAGCCTATTTTTTGTGAGTCAGGTCAGTAAACAAGGTTTAAATCCGCTCGTCTTTTTTTAAAATCTGGGCATAAAACCTTATTTCATACGCCGGTTGGAGAATATTTCCGCTCACGTTGAGGATCATCTTCCCAAGACTGAATGCCTTAAGACGACAATTATGGAAATCAAACTTTCGCACTAAAAATTTCTAATCTTTAAAGATTTCTAACATCCTACAAGATGATAAATATTCTTTCATCTTTTTTTAAAATTTTTACAATACCACATTTTACATTTAAGTCAAACCCGTCAAGATCAAAGGTGAGTTTATGAAATATAATAGTATAATAGCGATACTATTTTCATGAAACATGAAACACCAATCGGTTTTGTTATTTTGACAATGTATTTTTTAAATTAAACAAGAAAAGAAAGCTAACTTCGGGTGGAACCGAAGTTGATATACCCTTGCAGAATATTTTATAAATTATATTCTCCATAACTATTCATATGATGCATTCTTAATACTCATAAAAAGACCCAACTTCCTAACTTTAAAAACACCAAAGTTATGTCATTTAAAATCGTTCAGTTATATGGCAGCTATAAGATATAGTCGGCCGATCCTTATGAAATTTGGTAGGTCGGATTGATTGGCTAAAAATAAAACCCATAGAAAATCCCAACTTCCTAACTTTAAAAACACCAAAGCTATGGCATTTCCGATCAATCAGTTATATGGCGGCATTGATTAGCCAAAAATAAAACCCATAGAAAATCTTAACTTCCTAACTTTAAAAACACCAAAGTTATGGCTTTTCCGATCGTTCAGTTATATGGCAGCTATATGATATAGTGGCCCGATCCGGCTCGTTCCGACTTATATACTACCTGCAATAGAAAGACAACTTTTGGGAAAGTTTCAAGCAGATTGCTTTAAAACTGAGGGACTAGTTTGCGTAGAAACGGACGGACGGACATGGTTGAAGGTTAAAGGGGTGGATAACAAGAACTGCAGACATTGTGCGATGAATTGCACCACATTAAGTCGAATAAATTGAAATTAAATTCTTCGTCCCTGAAAGTAAAAAAGGTTGGCGTTTATTGTTGAAATATATAATGTTTGGAAATAATAAAAATCTATAGAATTTTATACCTTGTTTAATTTTTTTTGAGAATATCTTCGACCAACATAAAACTGACATTTGTATCGAATTGCAATTTTTGATCATAAAACCACCGCATAGTCAACATGTAATCGCCAGTTGGAAACGGATGCCGTAGTAGTTCGTACCTCAGATACAAGTTCTTAACGATCTGTGGACCCTAAAATATCAATTAGTGAGATGAAGAACAAATGTGTTGAAACTCTTACCATATAGGGGCATGTGTGGTTAATATTTGAAAATTCCTTAAAAAGTCCGTAGACAATTTTTGCAATTGGATTGGAACGGTATCGAATGAATTGACATCCATCGAATTTTTGGTCAAATAGCCACGGTTTGTAGCCATTGGCTCTCTTAAACATTTGTAGATGAATGTGTATATCATAAGCTGGGTATAAGATCGTTCCGTTCATATTAAGAAGTACTTTGTTTCGACTCACAGCCTTTAACCGACAGTTGTGAAACACAAACCAAGATGTGTTGTAGCTCTCACAAATGAAGTTCGTAAACTTAAATACGACCGCGTTCTGACAATATGTATTAGTATTCACTCCATATATGAGTTAATTTAACGGAAGGACTTACGTTCAATCCAGTGTTATAAGTTAATAATACTCCGCTGAGAGCCGGAATGATCAGCAAAGTCCGCATCGCGTTTAAAATTGATCTCGAATAACATCAGAAATATGTTTAAATCAAAATTGTTTCGTTGTTTAATTTTTCCCTTAATTACTTCCGGCGCATGCAATTACTTTATAATTTTCATATATTTATTTCTTATTTATAAAATATTTGACCTTTTTTTATACCCTGGCAGAGGGTATTATAATTTTGGTCAAAAGTGTGCAACGCAGTGAAGAAGACATCTCTGACCCTATAAAGTATATATATTCTTGATCAGGATCGCGTTCTGAGTTGATATAAGCATACTATGAATAATTTTGGAGAATATAATTTACAGAATATTCTGCAAGAGTATATCAACTTCGGCTCCGCCCGACGTTAGCTTTCCTTTGTTGTTTTAATTAACGTTATCTCCAACAAAAAAGGAAGCAAACTTCGGCAAGTCGATGTTTATATACCCTTACAGTTATTACAAATCGACTACATATCGATTTCTATGCCTATACTACTAAAAACAATGAGGCTATGTCGATTTTGCGCTGCATTTGGCCATCGTTTCTATGGCAGATATACGATATTGTTGTCCAATTAAAACCGTAATTCTATAATATTAAAGTATTACCAAATCCCAAAGAACAAAAAAAAAAAATTAAAACAAGAAAGGAAAGCTCGGGCGGAGCCGAAGTTGATATTCTGTAAATTATATTCTCCAAAATTATTCATATGATGCATCCTTAATACTCATACTTCTTTTGAATTTGACATATCTACCCTTTTCAGCCTCTTTTATAATGCAAGTAACGGGCAGTAACGGTCATAGAATTAATTATATAGGATATAGTCGGCCGATCCTTATGAAATTTGGTAGGTCGGATTGATTGGCCAAAAAAAAACACATACAAATGGCCAAAATCCCAACTTCCTAACTTTACTAACACCAAAGTTATGGCATTCCCGATCAATCAGTTATATGACGGTCATAGGATATAGTCGGCCGATCCCGGCTTATATACTGCGTGCATAGGAACGAAGGGTGTAGGCAAAGTTTCGATTCGATATCTTTAAAACTGAGAGACTAGTTCGCGTAGAAACAGACAGACGGACAGACGGACATGCTTATATAAACTCAGGAGGCGATCCTGATCAAGAATATATATACTTATAGGGTCAGAAATGTCTCCTTTACTGCATTGCAAACTTTTGACTGAAATTATAATACACTCTGCAAGGGTATAATAATCAATTCAGTTCATTTTAAATGTAACTATATTTACAAAATTTAAGATGGGGATCCATGCAGTTTTTTCAAATCAGTTTAAATTTGCTTTTATTAATTGGTTAAACATCAGCTTCATGATAAATTCTCTTCGAACGAAAAATATATGCCCGTAGAAAGTATAAGTACCTTATCGATGTACCACTTTATTGAAATTAGGTATTCCCCAGAGGGAAGCGGGACCGGAACTCCCTCTCCTGAGAGATGGAAACCCATTACGTAAACTGGACCCTTTAAAAAAATATTTTGGGAACATTAAATGGATTTGGAATAATAGGACCTTTACCTCGTAGGGACATGTGAAATTTAAATTGGAAATTTGTTTAAAAAGATTATAAACAAGTATTACCGGCGCATTATAGGGCCTCTGCAAAAATCGACAGCCATCGATTGTGATGTTGTAGAGCCACGGCTTAAAACCACTGGCCCGCTTGAAAATTTGACCGTGTACTCGGATATTTCTGGCAGTTTTCCGCAGAGTCCCGTTAAAACTCAGTGTAGTTTTGTCCCTGCGAATGGCTTTTAAACGACATTTGTGCACCGAAATCCAAGATTCATCCACTGAATCACAAACAAAGTTGGTAAACTTGAATCTGGAAGCATTCTAAACAAAACAAATATTTATTTGATAGGAATACATTAAAAAGAGTTACTTACAATGGTACTCTGTTCAAAAACAATATGAAAGGCCAGAATTAAACATATAATTCTAAATGCGGTTCCCATGGTGTCAAGTGCCATTATTAAATGCATATTTTTATAAAACTAACTCAGCAAAGTATACCTCTGTTATATCGGCTTTATTACTGGTCAAAATGAAGTTATAAGTATTGAGCTTAATGGTGTAATCACCATTATTATTAGATTAAAAGAATATATTATATTCCAGTATGCAGTATTTAGTTGATATTTCATAGTCGTTCCAATTAAATATTGAAATCTTTCTGTTTCTTTTTTGTTGATTTATTTTTATTATGTTGGTTTGAAAATGGCTGAACATAATTGCATTGTTATAATATATTTTGGATAATTATAGGTAGTATCGAATATACATTTGGATGACTAAAAACTATTTAGAAATCTGAGTATTTTTGCTTTAATTTGGGTACTATATACAGATAAAATGTATATAAATATTCTTTGGTGCTGGCTTGTCGCACAGACCAATTAGTTCAAAGGATTATTTGTCTTTAAAAATTGAAAAAGCCGAAACTTCATGAAGGTTTTTTATATAGTGTTAACAAATGATAGCCAATCATAACGAACGAAAAATTTGTATGGTAATATTGGTAGCTGAACTTTTGTTTTTAGAATGGCTGGCAACAATTAATTGGCGCAATAGACCCCAAAGTCTATTTGTATCATGTAGTTTTGGAAGCGAAAATCATGGGTACAAACAATGAAAATCCGTTGGGTTGTGTTCCATGACCAGCGATGCGCACAAAAATAAAGTTTAGTTTTTAATGCTTCGCACATGCCGCCAAACATATTGAACCAAAAAGGGTAAGTTTTGACTCTGCAAATAACACGTTGTCCAAAACAAATTCAAAAGAATATGGTCCCTTGTCCCAAATACGGAGCTAGAAAACAAGCACCTAAAAGCTACGGTTAAGCATGGTGGGGGTCTTCTTATGGTTTTGGCCTGTTTGGAGGATTCTGGTAGGGCAACCTCGTTTTTATTGACGGATCCACGAGATGGCCAAAATGTACCTACAAATTTTAAAGGAAATCGTGCTGCAAATTGCTGAAAACCTGGGCATACGTGATCGATTTCGGTATTACCAGGATAACGATAACACATTCAGCAGCAATTGTGAAGACTTGAAACTGCCCTCACGTAGTGAATCCACCTGCCCAGTCACATGACCTTAACGTCATTGAAAATTTGTGGGCAGTTTTGGATCTCGGTCAATATTTTATAAAAACAAGAAAGGAAAGCTAACTTCGAGCGGAGCCGAAGTTGAAATACCCTTGCAGAATATTCTGTAAATTATATTCTCCAAAATTATTCATATGATGCATTCTTAACACTCATAAAAATCCCAACTTCCTAACTTTAAAATCACCATTCGTTCAGTTATATGGCAGCTATAGAATATAGTCGGTATAATGATCTTAAAAAGGGCCTCTTGGAATAATGGACCAAGATTCCAAAGGAGACCACAGAAAAGTTGGTTTCTTCGATGCAAACTCGATTGAAGGATGTCATCAAACAGAATGGAGGCCTCACAAAGTATTAAGTTATTTAATAGTCAATATATTTAACATGAAGTTCCTTGCACGAAATAATATGCAACAGAAAATTCAGTATTTTTAGTTCTTCTTAGTTTTAAGTGTTATTTAATTTAGTTTAGAATAGATTGGCTTGTTTTTAGTTTGTTTTGATTGGCTATAATTTATTTACAACATATAAAAAAGCTACATGAAGCTTTTGCGACTGAATTCTATTAATATTTAATTCTATTAATGAATTAATTAATGTTTCGGCTTTTTCAATTTTTATACCCTTGCAGAGGGTATTATAATTTTGGTCAAAAGTGTGCAACGCAGTGAAGGAGACATCTCCGACCCTACAAAGTATATATATTTTTGATCAGGATCGCGTCTTGAATTGATATAAGCATGTCCGTCTGTCTGTTTCTATGCGAACTAGTCTCTCAGTTTTAAAGATATCGAATTGAAACTTTGTACACACCCTTCGTTCCTTTGCACGCAGTATATAAGTCGGAACGGCCGGGATCGGCCGACTAAAGCTAAAGCCGGCATATAACTGATTGATAGGAAATGCCATAACTTTGGTATTTGTTAAGGTATGAAGTTGGGATTTTCTATGGGTTTTATTCTGACCTACCAAATTTCAAAAGAATCGGCCGACTATATCCTATAGCCGCCATATAACTGAACGATTGGAAATGCCATAACTTTGGTATTTTTAAAGTTAGGACGTTGGGATTTTTTATAAGTATTAAGAATGCATCATATGAATAATTTTGGAGAATACAATTTACAGAATATTCTGCAAGGGTATATCAACTTCGGCTCCGCCCGAAGTTAGCTTTCCTTTCTTGTTAAAGACAAATATTGCTTTGAAATAACACAGTCCAACAATTTTTAGACCCAAAAACTGGACACAATTTTTCTTATGCAATTTTTCGCGCTGAATCTAAATTCGGTACTCCAGCACCCACAGTTTTTGAGATATTCTAACCTAAAAGTGTGAAAATGCAAATAAATATCCTAAAAATCATTAAATTTTAACCGATTTCACCCTATTGTTCCTATAGGAGCTATAGGATATAGACGTCCGATCGCCAAGCGCTTTTACCTTGATCAAGGTATCCATAAAAAAATAAGATTTGGAAAGATTTATGTTAATAGCTTTTACACTGCGCGAAATATCTTCCATTCCTGCAAGTTATATCCGATTGTTCCTATGGGAGCTATAGGATATAGACATCCGATCGGGGCGGTTTTCAAACTTGATCTGCGTACACATGTTTTAGAACGACTGTGAAAGTTTCAGATCGCTAGCTTTTAAACTGAGCTCGCAAACGGTATTGAAACAGACGGACAGACGGACATGGCTATATCGAAACCTCTATTGATCCTGATCAAGAATATATATACTTTATGGGGTCGGAAACGTCTCCTTCACTGCGTTACAAACTTCTGACCAAAATTATAATACCTTCTGCAAGGGTATACAAATTGTGATCTTTCAATTTGTATGCTAATATTGGAACACGAACTTTTTTTTTAGAATAGTTGGTAACAATTAATAGGCGCATTAGACCCCAAATTTGTATCCTGTAGTTTCGGAAGCGAAAATCATTAGTCCAAACAATGAAAATCCGTGGGGTTGTTTTACATGACCAGCGATGCGCACAAAAATAAAGTTTGGTTTTTAATGCTGCTTGTGCTTCGCACATGTGCTGCAGAGCCGTAAAGTCGACTGTTTGAAAAAGAGGTGGCAGTGCTACCAGTTCATGTTGCAGCCACATTTTTTAGTCTCGGGGGCGGAGCAAATGAGCTCCTTTCAGCTGGCTTGGCTATCGGACTCTTGCCCCATACAAACAACTACATTAGCCTTTAAACCTTAACAACAATGGGAAAAATGGGCCTACGGATGCGTATTGATTTCGCCCAATACGTTTTGTTCCTGATACTGTCAGATTAAAAGGGTGTACACATTCTGCTTGGGCACCACCGATTGTTCGTCTGACTGATGTTGTCCAAGAATATACATACATTTGCACAGGGTCGAAAACACTTGATTTTCCTGAAACAAACTTTTCAATAATTATAAAGTATATCTTTGAACTTATTTAATATGTATTGCAAAAATTTGTTAATGTCCAACAAACCAACCAAATTGTGTTATTTTAAATAAAATCCATTTGCCTTCTCCCTTCGGTGAAGCGAATTAAACATTCTGTCACGCCTTGAAACAAGCTCGATTTATAAAAGAGCCAAACTGCTATCCATGTATAAAATTTTAATTTCAGCCACAGAACGTTCTTGGCAACCTTTTTTCTGGGGCGTGTCTCGTGGTCGTGGGGTACTGGTGGGTGTGTACGAATGTAAATTTTTAACTTGTAACTCATTTTTAACGCAAAATAATAATTTTGAGCTTACTGTTGTGGTGGAACGCAAAATGGGCCAGGCAAAAAGTGGGCGTGTCAAAGGTCGGGGGTTGATTAAATAGCCCAGCTAATATTACATATCGATGAAGAACTTTTACTGACTGATACTGGAACTTGTATTTGGAGTGCTGAACAGTAAATTAAGTGAGCAAAACTTAGAGATTGGTTTTTGTTTGCTTGAAACGTGTAAAAATACTCGCTACAACGCAGATGGCAACACAAATTGCCAGCAGTTGCAGGCAGCAAACAGCAGTTGGCCTAAAATCTAACGTATCTAAGCGATACAGATACAAATGCTCCGAAATTGAAATCAAATTGCCGCCATAATGCAAATGCTGCAATTTGTACATTGTTTGGTTTTCCTTTCATTTGCTTGTTTTTTATCCAATTTTCCTGTTGATTTGGCAATTTTCTGCCCCCGGATAGAGATAGCAACAGTTGCTGCACACAGAGATGGAAACATGCATGTCACTGGCAAAGAGTTACAAATTGCAACTCAGTGCCAAAAGAATGTGCCATGATAAGTCAATAACTATTATTAACGCAAACCGACGCTGCGCGCAGTAACTCACAGATTCAGATGGCGTTTTCGAGATACAGATACTGATTGTATCTCGGAGGAGCGAAAGTGCATTTCGGCCTTATCGATATTGAAATGTTAATGAACTGAAAATTTTGCGTGTCGAATTGTCGAACAGTTCGCGCTGGGCATGTTTTCAAGATCTACGCTCAGATCGCGGCAGCGTGATAATTGCCCAGCTATGTTCAATGTACTAACATACCAAGATTGCCATTGCTGCGATTGGAAAGGCAACAACGACAGACAAAGACCAAAACTGAAACCCATTCGAGACTTCACTTCACACTTCACTTTCCATTTTGTTGTTTTCTGGCCACGCTTGAAAAATATTTCAATTAATGCAATCGAAAAATGAGTGGGCCAAATAAGAAATAGGAGTCGTGGCTACAACGAAAAGGCTAAAAATAGATTTTCACTATGCATTTTGTACATTTCAATCGGTTTATCACGGAATCTATAGAAATATTTTTTAATTTTTTTCTTTTTTCGTTTGTGATCTTCATTATCAATGTTGCGCCAAAAATATCTAATGATTTGCACACAATGCACTTGAAAAGAGTTCAGGAGCTCATTGCTGGTTGCTTTTCCATTTAAAATTAAAACGATTGCTCTTGACTTTTTAATTTTAGTGAAAAAGCTATAATAATAAATTGAAATAAAATAACTTATTCTATGAAATACTTACAAGGAAAGTCTTACCAATTTTACAAGGAGTTCTATAAATTTATGTAACCTACTGAAAGGTACATTTTATAATATAATGAAACCTACAGAAATAAACTAACTTATTCTATCATTATTAATTAAATAAAACAAATATTCCCGAGGAAAGTCTTGTCAACTATTACAAGGAGTTCTATATGTTTAAAGTGACCTACTGAAAGGTATAATTAGTCTTGTAAATTTTATATAAAAAGGTAATAAATTATGATGTTGTTCTATATAGTGTTGTTATTTACCAATCTACTATTTTTCGCAAAAGTGATCACGAACTAGGATGGTCCCCTGGATCGCAATCTACCACAAATGTTCCAACAATCCCATCCATCGCTCGCACATACCCACAGTTCAAACACCCTTGATTGGCATCTATTAACCCCTCGATCATTGCACAACACTGGGCAAGTGAAATCGACAACTGAAGTGCCCGAGGCAGACGTGTACATATGCTTTGGCATGGCATGTCACCCAATGCGCCTGATATCTTGCGGATACATGTAACACGAAGAAAAAGCATTCATTGAAGCGCATGGCATGGCCGTCGTCTCGATTTATGAGCCAACCCACGTCTTACGCTGGTGGGGGTTGGTGCTGGTGCTGGGAGGTTGGAGGTGGGAGGTGGTTCGGTGGGTTGGACTCAGTGAGTGATGGCTGCACTTCAGCGCCCACAAACCAAACGGCGACACTTTCAATTGCACGGCTTAGACTCGGTCTCGGACTTAGATTCGGGTTCGGACTGCAGACTGGAACGGAGATTGGAACTTGCACAGTGCAACAGACACTCACAAATATTCAGATATCGAGTTCGAATAATTTTCAACCCCAAAAATAATATTGCTAAAAGTTTTTGATATGTTTGCAATCATTTTTGACCAGCACCACTTTGTTTGAATTGCAAACCCTTTTATTTTTTAATAAAACATATGTTTTAAGCCGAATAACATTTAAAAACATATTTGTAAAAATGTTACCTTGAAGGCAGGCATACATTTTTTATTCCTTACAAAAGATGCAATCCTTTTCGTCGTGCTTCACTGTTTCAAAATCAAAAAATACTTAAGCTTCGAAAACTTTAAATATATTTTTACCAGTGCGGTCGCACTTTCTCGGTGTCGCGCTTTGATTTGTTTTCCATGGGTTTTCTTGCTTTATTTTTATGGCTTCTTTTGGCGCAACAATTTGAATGTCATTAGTGTCAGTGGCCGGCAGCTAACGGAGCTTGACACCATCTCGTCTCCAGCACCCTGTCAGTACCCAGTGATGATTTTCCGACGTCGACCCGCCCCAGACACTCTGTGATTTTTCTTTTTCACACTTTTGGAGGCGAGCGAGGCCGCGTTTGGCTGAAATACAATTTCAATTTAAAGTCACGTTGAACATTAACTACAATGCCACTTTCCAGCTGGTCAACTCTTCGAGCTGCTCCACTTTTGTCTTCGTTACCGAATCGCGGTTACTCGAAAGTGTCGCCGGCTCTATTTAATGTGCTCGGTCCGCTCAGCAGATCATTAGCGGAGCCCCTGCTTTTAAGCAGCCAATAGAGTACTACGGTTATTATTTGTTTTCCCCCGAGGAAAACACAAACCCAGCCATTGTTCTGGAGTATGGTGCCCCATAATCTTGATTTCACTTGCCTGATAAGGTAATACGTTTGCCCCTCTTTAGATTCAAGTCCCTGATAAATATTTAATTAGATATTTTGCTGTTACAGAACGGTCTGGTTATTGTTTGTCCGTCGTCTTCTAAGTGAAAACATACAATGATCGTCTTCTATGAGCACGGAGCTGTTTGCATTCGTATTAGACTATGGTAAACAATTAGCGAGAAAGCTTTTAGATGTGATTGAGTGGCTTGGATTATGGTGATTCAGAATATATTAAAGAAAAGAAGAGAGATAGGGGCCCGGACTATCGAGTGGATGTTTCTAAGCCGAGATATCGAGAAACCAAATCTTGGAAAAGCGTTTAAATTTGCTTCTTTGTTTAGTCATACGACTATTCAGAACCATCCCAAATATTTTGAATTTATCAATTTTCAAACAATTATTTTCGGTTCTGTCCATTCTATTTGTTTCTAATCTGAAAACGAAGCCCTGCCCTTGTTTGCCGCAAACACAATTCTGTATGAATCGGTGTCTTGGAGCTTTTCTTTGATGTTGCCAATCGCCGCTTTGGAGCGGCTCTAACTGTTGCCGCTAATTAGCTAAAACACAGACCCAAAGACAACAGCAAAGACAATTGAGTGGCATTTACGCGCCGCGTTCTGGTACAGAAGAATTCCCCTTCCATACAAACACATCTCACTCTCTTTCACTTCTCGACATCGTCATCATAGTCGCCATTACTATTAATTCAGCACCCCGGCGCATACAAAAACATCTTGATACAATTTCCAACTGAGGGCCGACCAAAAGAAGCCGCTTTGGCTTTGAGTCTCGATTGGCGCCATTAAGATTAGATTTGACGTTGATCTTTTCCTAACCATTTATATTTAATTATCATTTAATCATCGCTTAATAATTATTGTTAATTCGTCGGCACTGGGCAAGCGAACCATTACTTGGGAAAGTTGGCGAGTTGCTTATATAAAAGATAAATCCCCAGACTTGCCTTTCTGTTAAATTTAAATTATTGCAATCTTCTGCTGACGTCGTTGGCCTGGTCATTAAAGTTGTCCATTGAAGTTGTTGCCTTGTTGTCTTGTTGTCATAGTTTTTCATTGTCGTTGTTTGGCTACATTACAAGAAAAACTAGACTGAACGATAAAGCTTAGAGCGCCATTAAATATTCGCAAGATGTCGCAAAAACAGGACGAAGTAATTTTCACATAGTTTTTGGGCTTAAGAATGTTAAAATGATTTCCGTTCGTAAAATTCCGTATAAAAATACTAAATCCAGAGTTATAACAATGAAGTTAAGACGAAGTTTCTATAACGTTCCCAATGCTTTCTAAAGAAGCTATTTATATGATATAGATTGATCCCAGTCGTTTTCTTACTACTTCCAATAGAAAGAAAACCATTGTGAAAGTTTCATGCAGATTGCTTAAATACTAAGGGGCTTGTTCGCGAGAAAAAGAAAAGACGGACAGATCGACTGTGATGTTGTGCACTGCCTTTTAATTTAAAAATATATTGCCTTCCGCAAGGAATAATAATGGAACTTAATTTTTATTTAAGAATATAGCTTATATATTTGTAGCTTACCTGAGTACAATTCTTTTTTCAATTTGTTAGTAAACAATCTTAAAAGCCTCACAATTTGTTGCTGTGCATAGCAACTGCTGCTGTTGCATTAAGTTCAAACCTCAGTCTCGCCGTTAATTACTACAATTTGAAAATTTTGTTTTAAATTGTGTTGGCTTTTCCTTGCATTTATTGATTGCATCTAATGTCTGCACTGTTGCTGCTTTCTGCATTTTATATGCAAATTAGCATTCAGAAACATCAGCAATGAATGCTTAACATCATCATCAGCGCATGTTGATTAGCCTCGTGCCATTGGATAGTCTCTTCTCGAGTCTCGAGTCTTCTGTCTTCTGTCTTGAGTCCTCCATTTGAAGTGCCTGTCTTCTCCACTTACACTGGAGTGGTGAAAAACGTCGGCACACAACATGTGCTGATCAAATTTGGCATGCAAGTGTGCGCTAGAGAGATCGCAAGATATAAGGAAGATTAGTAATCATGATCATTGGGGCCATTCAAGAAAATCAAGAATTCTCTGACAAATCGTTGATAATCTAAATTGATGGCAGAATCTTTACAGACACATTCCACCTAATGGGGCACTATCAAGAGCACAAATAACACCCTAATGATCGGTTTCAATTTCATAATGTTTGCTTTTCATAATACAGGAAGCCATGGGTATAGCTAATACTCATCAGCTGTCATATTACCCTAATAATTATGATCGATACTGGTCCAGCAACTCTTACTCCCGATGGCAATAACCCGCTTTTCTCGCAACCTTTGAACCCACTTTCTAGGAAAAACTCGAAACATGCTGGGATGCATTCATAAAAAATTAATAAACAAGCTCGATTACAAGGCGGGGAGAACAGTGGAATACCTAATAGTTATTAATTAGTAGGAGGGAATGAAAAGCGTAGCAAAACGATCAAAAAATACCGGGTCACATACAGTGAATGGAGGGCAGGAAAAAATAAAGAAAAACAAAGCCACACAAGCTCGTAGGCTTATGTAGACAGATGGATGACGAACGGTGCGGATGACTACGTGGATGGGCTGGTGGATGTAAGATGTGGCTGGTGCACGATGACGATGATGACTGTGGCAGAAGTTTATAAGATTGACCCGCATACCAGCGTGTGGGTCCCAGGCCAGTGCGGCATCCACTCAGACGGAGGGACGGACGGGGAAGCAATTGCACAATTAGATAAAGCATCTTATGGATGCACTTTGATGAATGTTAATTGAACTCCACGCTATACTTTTCGAGCATTGTTCAGCTGTCGTCGTCTGTCAGTTGAGGAAATGCTTGCCGGTTTTTCTGTAGATCCTTCACGGATGCAGTGCCGCCAACTAGCTCAGCACATGATGACACCTGCCCACTCGTCTTGGAAGTTTTAGCAGGGGTTAATGGTTCCTAGATGAGGCCAGCTCTCAGGTTCCGACACCGTATTCATAATATGCCTTTTATACTCAATAAGGTGTATCTTTTATTTTGCAGCTAATGAAATCGGACACCTCCAAAGACCCCGCCCGATGCGCGTGGGTGGTGGCGCATCGCTTTTGAATCGAATTCGGAGACATGCTCAGCCATTGACCAGGGGCCAAGACGACCGCGTAGGAGTTCGCTGCCATGTGAGCAGAGCTCAGTCGGCACACAAAAAACGTTCAACGAAAAGCTAAATTACAGTCAAGAGCAGACGACGGTTATCCACAGACAGGTTGCAGTAGCACAGAGCTCCAAATGGAGGCCACTGAGCAGGATGTCATGCTGGAGGGCAGCGAAGACCTTATGTCCACATCAGCCTCGTCCACAAATGGCGGGGATACAAACGGTTGCGGCAAAAAATTGGTGAGTTTTTTCACGTTTATACCTTGGTATTGAATAAGTTTTGTAGATATAATACGCATAAGAGAAAACAAAAAAAACACTCTTTTTACCAAACCAATAACAAGTAAAAAAGAAATATTTAGAAAAAAGTGCAAAAATAACCTTGCCGTGATTATAATTTTAAGTAATATTTTCTTTATCAGGCATCAAAATATAGAGCAATGTTTCTGGAGGAATGTTATAATTTAGTTATATTCTCTGTTTTCTTTTGGTGTTCGGAGTTTCTGATTTTCCAATAACAAATAGTCTTAGGGTGTTCCCTAAGCTCTCTGGTTTCCACCTTCCACTTGTAATTTAAAGCCTACTATATTGGCGGAAGTATTTGCGGGCAATGAGCGATGAATGCATGGCCGATTGACTTTTGCCATTTTCCGTATAGTACTTTAAGAAAACTGCACAACTACACGTGAGTGGGTGGGTCAAAGCAATTGAAATAATTTTGAGGAACCACTAAGACCATTGCCAACAACTAAAAGTAAAAGTTTGCCATAGAAAGCAGAAAGTAGTAAAAAGCAAAAAACATTAAATATTTAATGGTTTTGGGAGGCATAGAATGAAAGAACGAACTTCAAAAAACATATATAAAATTGTTTTCATAATAATGACTTTTTAAACTAAGCCTAAATTACCTTTCAAGTTTTTCCTAAAACTAAAAAAAATATTATGTATGGTAGTTTATTCTAAACTAAACATAAATTAACTTTCAAGTGTTTCTAAAAATAAAAAAAAATACTATATTTTATACAATTGTAACAGATAGGACAAAGCGATTATGCCTATTTAATATATAGGTATATAAGTCAAGCCTTGTCTGTATGTCCGAGTGAATATTGAAATCTTAAGAACTAAAATAGGTTAAGCATGCCCTCGCAGCGCAACTTGGTTTCAAATATTTCCCATTTAAGGGAATATATTTTTGTACATAATCGCATAAAGTTACGTGAACGTCTAGCAGATTGAAGACCATATAAATTTAATTGAAACATATATTTTGTTAACTGTATTTATCGAACTCTTCGTAAACATATCTGACTCAGAGCTTACATAAACTTTCTTCAAGATGTAAATAAATCACAAAAACCAATCAGTTAAGGACCCAAGGTTTTCCTTGACCTGCAGTCTTAGCCAATCATAATTTCCATATAAGCCGCTGAATATTTAATGCAATTAAAGCCCGCTCAAGGCTGCCAGCTTAATAAGCAAATACTTAATGGAATTTAAGAGCAAAATACACAGGCATACAGGCACAACTGCCCACGCGTATATACGGATGCAGTAGCAGTATCAATGACTCCACGCCCTGGAGATCTGTCTGCTGACATTTGCATCTGACTCTCGAACTTGATCCCCTGCTCCCTTATCCCCCATCCCAAACTTTATTCGATTGAAAGCAATTCATGCTAATTAGAAATTTTATTGCACTTACTGCATTTGTTGTTAATTGCAGACCGTGACCTCGCCGGATCCCACATCGTACGTGACCAAGCAGCGAGTGACGCGGCCCACGCCCCCAGCTCCTTCGAAGAACCCGATGCAGTTCGTCCAGATCAAGCCCTGCAACCTATATCAGACCGCGCAGGAGCAGCTGAAGAAGGCCGAGGAGGTCAAGAAGCTGAAGGAGGTGAAGAAGGAGGAGCCAGAGGAGTGGCAGAACGTAAGTCCATATCATATATCACACCGATCCGCGTAAATCAGCAACTCGATCAAAAAGTCGTGACAAATTTTTAAATCGCTGTTTAGGTGATTTAATATATGTTACTATAATGCTGGTCAGATCTTTTTAAATAAAAAATAGTTAAAACATTAAATACCTTAATGAAATACTAGGATATGAAGACGAATAGGATATTTTTTCCGAGGTCTGTGTATGTAAACAACAAGTGGTACTTTACTAAACAATTACCAAACTCTGCTGAATAATCATCCAGTAAAAAAAAACAATAGTTTTTTGATAATGCTAAAATATTTTTTTTAGCTTTACACCACAAAAGCAAATAATAATGTGAATGGCTTGGTCTGAAAGGGTATTTAGCTATCGGCTCCCGAAGCCAGTCTTTCTTTCCATTTTTTGCTAACTGACTGTTTGGAACTTATCGCCACGGATAAACTAAAGCGAAACCACTTGGGCATGGCGCATGGCACATGGCTCGTTATGGCCGCTCCAGTTTCCAATGCACGTCGCCCGTTAGCGGACAAAAAGATATTGCATTGCATAATCACTATTACATTTTGTTGATAGTTTTTCTTCACCGCTTGTTTTTTTGTTCACTTCTATTTTCTTTGCACAAAGTTGTGTGTTACATGCAAATTTGCTGCTGCCATAACCCCGGCAAAGAGCTGCCTTTGACGTGACTGTACCCACCTAATTACCTAATCAGCCATTTCGATGCAGTCGTTGCATTTGAAATGCCTTCGGACGATTAACCAGTATTCCATGGGCATCATGTTTATCGAAATTTCATAGGTTCCCAGACATAACTTTTGCTTTACGACTGTGTGCCAAAAACAAAAAAGTTAAGAAATCCATTTAAATGCGTACAGCGTTTTGGAACTGGGCGACCGAATTCGATGGGAAAGGAAGTCCAAATGCTGCTTTAATTGTCTTCGAGTGTAAATTGCTTTCTTTTTGTTTTATTTAGTAATGCGAAAACGTTTAAGTCTTTTATTGGAGCCCAGTTTGGTATTCAGATTTGAAGATCAATAAAACCAACCGGAAACTGTATAACTGTTAGTCAAACGAGGAAAAGAACTTCGATGTGATTAACAATATGAGTCGATAGTCATTATCGGCATAAGAGAAATGTTCAAGAGATAAACTTATAAGTGAAAATATCAGGTTATTTAGCCGAGAGTAAAATCTGTCGTTAAAATCTGGACATTGGCACATCTCTCTGAATCATACAAAATGGGATCACAAATTCTTTATATATACTGCGGCGACGCTTATAAAACTGAGCGAAGTTCACGCGCCTCGGAAACATTTCACCTTTGTCACGTAGTTCCGCAGCCGCGTCAAAACTTTTTAATTGCCATCAAAAGAAACTTTTGCTCGTCCACTTCCACTGTGCGAAAATACAATAACAATTTACACTTACACATCTGCCCATTTCATTTTCTATACTAACTTTCGCTACCTTTCTGCCCCAAAACAAAACACGGCCAACAATGCGATCCGGTGACAAACAACAAATAATAAACAATAAACGGCAAACACACAAACAGAACCTTGACAATTGGAAATCATCAAGGCGAAAACGTGTCGAGCACATCATCGATCGTGCGGTGGAGACCAAGAAACTCGAGCTGGAGGAACATGATCGCATGCGACGAAAATCGAAAACATTCACCGAAATGATGGAGGAGAGGCAAGTACAAGTCCCAGTTTCGATCGAGTGTCAATAGTGTGAAAATGTTGCAAAAAATGTATCCTTTAACATAGAATGAGAACCAATTCAAATCAAATTTCAAAACACGGTGTTGCAAAAGAATTTTCCAAATCAATTTAATTTTAATGTTAATGTATCTTACATTTAACTGAATAAAAAAAATACTTTATGTGTGTGTCATCCTTAACCAATTGACTATGACTAATCTTTAACGGCTAACTAAAACAGAATATAAATTATAAAATATTTCTTCAAAGGTTAAACAAAAGTGTTTTGATTTTGCTATGTTTTTCAATAATTTATATTTCGAAAAGGTTTGCTTCTAATATTTATTCATTGTAATGAAATGTTTAAGCTATTTAAAACACACAACGTGTGGCACAATTAAACCAACCAATCTAAATGTTAACACCTGTGCCCCCTTAATGTATCAAGTAATTTAATAAAATGTCCTTTTAGGGCTGAACGGGGCGGACCTCGAGGGCGTGCAAAGCTGGCTTCTCTGGCCGTTTACAACGAGGATGAGACGAACGATCTGAGCGATCTGGGGATCGGAACCAGCAGTGCCAGCGGCAAGAGCAGTATGTCCGAAGATTATGACAATAATAGTGTGATGGTGAGTAAAACACGAAATTCGCCAAGAATAGGGGTCAATGTAACAGATTATCACAGAGGCAATGACATAATTAGCTCGATTTCTTGTACCAGTCCATTTCTTATAGTTTCTCCGCCTTAATAATTGTTTTTGCCATCATTAAGTGTCATTTATGGTGTTTGCTAGCCACGGCGTAACAATTAAATATAATTTATAAACACTTCGCCGCTGAGGCTCGAGCTTTCAATTGGCCATTGAAGCCTCGTTGGAAAGTGTTGCCAGCAAAGCGATGCGACACGGGCTAATAAACCCAAATAGTTTATTAATCAAATGCGCGCACAAGCATCACCGCAATAAAATCATAATCATAAATAATAAACAATGAGCCACAAACAATCGACGAAGCTCAGACAACAGAAACGGAGATTCCTATTGAGATTGAAATTGAGCGTTAGATTGAGCTGCGGATTGAGCAATTAGACGCGCTTGTCGCCAGGCCATAAAATGTTTAGCTGCAAACTGTAGAAAAAGTATGTTAGTTCACGACATCTGGGACCTTAGAGAATTGGTTGGATCAGATTGGAAAAAGGAAAGTAAAAGTAGAAAGGGAAATTCGTGAGAACACTAAAATAAAAGCTGAACGATATATGTTAAATGGGAATGGGAATGGGAAACTAAGAAAAACGATTTAAAGAATCATAAATTAATTTAGAAAGGGTAAAGCCTTGGTAAGATGGGTACAAAAACAAAACACATTTAAAAATCAATCTGTTATTAGAGTTTGGATTATCCTAGGTGTAATTATTGACATTGGAAATACCAAGGGCAAGAACCCTTTTTACAATACTAACAAAGCATGTGTAAATCCTCGTCTATTTGATATATTTAGTAAAAGCTAAGTTGAGTGTTATCCAAACTAAAAAGGCAAAACAAACTAAGTCATTATACAGACACCATCCATTAAGTACTTATTGACTAATTTTTGATTGAAATCGACTCCATCCACAGAGCGACCACGCCGCCGAGCTGGACAAGGCGATTGGCGCAGCTAGCCCTGGAGCTGCTGGAGTAATCTCTCGAAACGTAGAAGAGCAGCAGAATCACATAAATCGAAACGGCAGCAATGGGAACCACGGCAACGGCGTGACCATTGGCCAGGCGGGCATCTCGAATCCCTCCAAGGCAACGGGAAGGGAGTACGTCTCCTCGCCGGGATACGACACTTCGTCCAGTACGGCACCAGCTAGTTCCCCGGATCCATGTGAATACACCTACGAGGGAGCCATCCAGGACTACAAGCAGAGGGTCCAGCGGGCCAGCAGCAATGGCAATGGAAATGCCAATGGCAAGGTTATCGGAGAACCCATTGCATATCCTACAAGGCGTGGATCCAAGATCGAGGATCGCTTGAGCGGCTTTGAGGTGACCTCGCCTAGCGACACGCAAGAGGGTGTGGAGAAACAGAAGGTGGACGTGCCCAAGGTGGACATCTCCAAGCGCAAGGAGATCTTCGAGCAGGTTAAGACAGAGGTGTCCAATGGAGCTGCTTCCGCTGCCCCCAAACTGGTACTTCGAGATCGTTTAACCAACGGGAATTCAGCTCCCACTGCCCCCAAATCGGACGTTAGACGTCTCTCTGGCGACGTCTCCAGCATTCGGGACCGCATGCAGAGCTTGGAGCAGCAGCGCAAGGCCTTTAATTCCAGCAAGAGTGTGGATGTGCCAGTGCCGCCGCTCAAGCAGCGCCTAAACAGTCTGCAGCAGTCCGTTACCAAAGAGGAGCAGAAGAAGCCACCGCTGGTGGCCCTCATCGATGCCAGACAGCTGGAGATCATGAGGGGCGAGGAGGAACGAATGCGTCAGCAACAGCAGCAGCACAAGGAGCAGCAGCATCTGCAGAAGGGGAAAGATAAGGAGATGGAGAAGCATGTCCCACAAAACCAAACCACTGTGCTCGCTCCTGCGCCAGCACCACCGGCCCTTATTATAGAGGAGCCACCGGTGGCGGCCACAAACGATGACAGCGGCATCCAGGAGGACACCACCGACGAACTGCAGCAGCAGCAGCAGCAACTCAACGCGGCCATCGCAGCCTTGGCCCTCGAGGAGCGCCAGTTGGAGGAAGCGGCCAATGCGGTCAACCAGATCGAAGCGGAGTTCGATGAGCTGACCGATCTGAATCCCTCGCCATTGCCACCATCGCCAGCTCATCCATCAGTCCTACCAACTCCATCGGCAGCTGCTCCAGTTTCAACACAAGCGGCCAATCAAGCGGCTGCTCCTCCATTGCGGGACATGGAATTTAGTGTAAGTTCTACTAACAATTTATTCGAATCCGCTAAGATAAGTCCTTGTGATGTTGATGTAGTAGCTGCTTCAGCGGTGTCGGTGTCCAAATCTGGTCCCACTTCCAATCCCACATCCACATCCAATCCGGTTTCCCACGCCCCCAATTGTAACTTGCGTAGAAAGCCCTCCAACGAAATGGTCCATCATCGCAATTTGCTTAAAATGTTCAAGGAAACCTTTCAAAACGACGACGATCTGAAAGAGGTCGGTGAGCCGGTCACTTCTCCGGGTCAGTACACCCAGATCTTTGACTTTACCAATCAGCCGAGTAATCCCCCAATACCGATACCAGCACCCTCGAGTCCGATCCCTACCCAAATACCACGTCCTCTGGGCAAGCCGCCCATGTCGCCCAAGGCGGTGAGATTAGCCTCAAGTCCCAGGACTCAGATTAATCCTGTTAGTTCGCCCACGAGTTCTGCGGCCTCGCCTCCGCAATTTAGTATCAACGGCCGCGTAGAAATATTTAATTCACGGCAGCTTGAAAAGCCACCAACGCCACCAGCTCCGCCCAAGAGAATGGTGAGGATTGAGCAGCAGGTTAAGGAGGTCGTTCCTCCGCCAGAAGTGGTAATGTGTGCTCCCCCCATGACCATCGTTCATCCCGATGAGCTGCCCAAACCTAATACGGTCAAGGCCCTGTCCAATTGCTTCAGCCAGAGCGAATCCACCCCGATTACCTCGCCCATCATGTCGCCCAAACCCTTACCCAGGAGTCGCATTCCCCAGATAACGCCGCCAGCTTCTCCGAAGCCCCTGAAAAGAGCTCAGGTGGATGAGGTGGATCGTAGCTCCGGGGACTATGCTCCAGTGGTGGGTCAAACCAAGGCAATCGTGCACACGCCCCCTAGCAAAATAAACCTCCAAGCAAACAGAACCCTCGATCCTCTAGCACCCAATGATTCACTGTACCTGCACACATCTTCGCCTTGCGAAATGCCTTCCCTGAAGGCCTGTTCCCCGAACGAATCCAGCCTGTTTAAATTGGCCTCGTCGCGACCCACCTCGCCCTCAGTGGAGGTGGCTCTGTGCCAGCAATTCCTGGACAGAGAGGCACCCAGAGATATCCAGCTGGCCGAAGAAGATCGTAGGATATTGGAGCAGTTTGCTGTGGAGGAAAGGCCCTGTGATAGGATCGATGTGACCAAGTCACCACTGCCCAGCACTGGTTACCAGAATGTGACCGAAGCTCTGGTGAAGCAGTGTGATGGCAAGAAGGAGTCCCATGCTGTGAGGGAGCGGGAGGAGATCCCCAGCCAGGAAGACATTGCCCTGTGTGCGGGATTACTCGACTGCCTGGCCCCAGCGCAGGAGCCCGTCTGCGACAGCATCGATGTGCAGAAGTCACCAGTGCCGGCCACTGGCTTCCAGGACATCAGCGAGGAGGAGGTGAGGCGGTGTGATAGATCGAGTAAAAGTTCTGTGATCACAAACAGACCCAGCTCACCCATCGGCAGTGCCCGGGCAGCCCATTCTAAGGCTCTAATGGACACTTGCGAGCAGATCATTGCGGAGGAGCGGCTAGCCAGCAGTCAGATGATGAAGACTTCGCTGCCGGAGTCGGTGGACACCAAGCCATCGACTCCTCTACTAGGTCGCAGATCCAAGATTCCCATACCCAGACCTTGCTGTATATCCACCTCTGGAACTGATTCCATTAGTAGAGCGGGCTATGCCCCCACCGCAGCTCCGTCCCCCTCGGAAAATGTGGAGCAGCCGTTGATAGCTCGCACTCATCTGGTGGAAACGGAGATCAAGGTCAAGGAGATCTCTCCACCCTGCTCGCCCAAGCCCCAAGAGCGGAGTCAGCCACCCGCACCACCGGTGAAGGAAAAGAAAAAGAACATATTTGATTTCCTGCGAAGAAATTTCGGGAATCAGGAAGAGCCACAGCATCATCCCACGCTTAACGAGACACTCGAGAAGAAGGTGGTGCTGACCAGCACCAAGAGTGGCGTGGACGTGGTCAATGCAGATGAGTTCGTTCGGGTGGACAACTCCAAGTTCTATGTGGCCAGCGAGGAGGAGGATGAGCCGGCGCCACCCCCTCTTCCCAAAACCCCAGCTCCTGTTAACATTGAGATTCGGAAAAAGATCACTACCGACGAGATATTAGAGGAAAATACCACAGAGCAGGCGCTGACCCAGGAGATTAGCGATTTGCTGGACGATGAGATCATGAAACTGGAAGTAGCTGGTGCCTCAACATTGAGAAAATAGTATCGGAGTAGAAGTCGCCTCAAGATCTGCAAGACCTAAGGGGTTAGACTTCCTACACTTGGGAGTGATACGTGATCTCTCAGCCGTTTCGTTAGCTAATGAACATGAACATGAAGTAAACCGACTATCCTTATAATGACCTATAATGGCTCTCTCATATTGACATATATTGAAATTATACAATCGGATAATATGCAAATGAACACGAAATTAAGCTAATCTTGAACATTTTACAATCTTAAACAACGAATGATAATTTCAATCGAATTTATTTTTACACAAACTATTTATTTTACTATGGTTTTTGTTGATTTCTTTCGAATTATATTCAATTTTTATTTTCATTTTGTTATGGGCTCAAGCTACGTAAGCTACAGTTTTCTTTATTTAATAATATACTAAACCCAAAAATTATGTATGAAAACCAAATTTGATTTTATATAAAGAATTGTCAAACATATGTTTTATGGTTATATATTTTATACACAAACATACACACAAAAACTAAAAAAGATAAGATCGAATTTTTACGCGCTAATACACAAAAAAATAAATTAAAACCTCAAAATCATACCAAATAATATAAAAGATGAAAAATATTATAAATACAAATGAGATAATAATTGTTGTGCTATTTTATGAATAAACCTAAACTAAAATCCAAATCAAGCTGATGAAACTTCAATATTTAAAAAGATAATTATTTACATTTCTATACGCCGCTTGTAAATTTACGCCCATCCATGACGCTAGTACTAGAACTGCTTGCACTGCTTGACGTAAACGGCGCTGTAAAATAAATGTAGTGTCGTGTAAAAGCTGAACTGGAAAACTGAGCAACAATCAAATGTATATTTTACATGAAACATCACACTTTTCATATGTGAATTGTATGTAAGGCTTTAGAATATGGCTCTTTAAAAGATTTTCTCGTCCATATACAATCCAATCCGGAACATCTGAATCTAGAAAAGAAGATAATATCTTAGATATACTTAAAAAAACCATAATAGATATTTTTTATGTAAAAAGGAACCATATATATCTGGATAAAAAACCAATCGTCAAAACTTGATGCATCCTGATTCCCCCTATGTCTAAATAATTCCCGATATTCCCCATGGAACTCCAAACCAAATTCTAACGGTTAAGGATTCTTATTTAAGGCTTTATTCTACATGCTATCTGATTCACTCACTATCATAATTCGTATGCATATTTCTCTTACATGCCTTGCGCTCGTTTGTTGGCTAAAAAATGTAAAATATGATTTATCTATTAATGCAGTTACATAGTTTACATGCTTACTGCCAGCAAAAGTTGTTGCAAGTATACAATTTCCGAGGTAAGCGGTTTTCTCTAACTCATATCCCTTGTTTTGTGCCTTCTGTGTTCCTTTTGTGTTTGTTCTTTACTTGTCGTTTCTGTTTGTTTGTTTGTCTCGCCCGTATTCGTCGTGTTTACGTTCTCAGTTGCATTGCATGTTGCGTTTACCCACTTAGCACCTATTTAAAATGCCAAAAGTCACCCATCCGCCTAGTGGGGTTTCAGTTCAGATTCAGTACAGCGGGGCATACTTTGGGGGGCCGCCTCGGTATATCCAACCCCCATCCGCAGACCCTGGAGTGCTGTCTCCGCAGTTTTGCCGCCCCATATATTGCCTCCGCTTTTTATCTAAACAAATCGTTTGGGTCGATTCAGCGCTGCAGTGCCTACGTTTAGTGTACTTTAAGCCCTCGGCGGTTTTGGTTCTGTCGGGCAGTTTCATACGTACCCGGACCTACACGCCTGCCTCGGGCTATCTTTACAGCACCCTATAATAATATAGTCGTGCCAATAATTCGCATTGGACAGTGTGCGGGCACTTAGCCCGGGTATCTAGAGTATGTCCCATAGATACCAAGTAAATCGATTGCAGCGCTCCAGTTCGTTAGACTGTTTCGATCGTAAACCAGTGGTAAGCGGCTGGTTTTCATACTCAATACCCATATTTGCACAAGTACTTCCCCTAATATATAAATAATTTTTTCTTGGAATCTCGTGGGAATTTATAAGAACCGGAAAGAAGTGATAACGTTTCACGCATGTACATTTGCTAAGGGGTCTAAAGAATGTCCAAAATCAGCGACGACAAATCAGTTCCTTTTTGGTTACTTGACCGACGCAGACGTAGGAAGATTTAGGTTTCAAACGGACGGAAAGACAGTTGGTTATATATACTTATACCAGGTATTAATACAGTTTTATTTTATTTTTTTAATCAAAGGTTTTTAGCTGGGAAAATGTGCATATTAATGAGAAATAATTTGAAAGGTTTTGTTTGTTAAAATTTGTCACCTAAAATGTGTCAAACTGTACGTTTATTATCCGTATGGGAATAGCTAGGGATTAGCTTAACTTATCTTCCTTTTTTGCTCGTACCTGTTTTCGAAACGTAATTGTTTAAGTAGTAGTTGGTTATCTGCCCTTTCAGCTGCATTGAATGAACAGTATAGGTACTATTGTGGAAAATTCTGTGAAATTTTGTTTTGCAACCCCTTCCAAATTCCGTTGATATTGTGTTCCTTTTCTCGTTTTTCTCCAAGTTTTTGTTTGATTGATTTTCGCTGTATAATTTAATTTATATTTGTTATCTTTAGTTGTTTTTGTTTAATTTGCAAGCTAGTCTTTGTTTGAACTAACTGAAATTCATGCGATCCATGCGCATTCTTCTCTCTTTCTCTCTCTGTCATGCACGCTTTTGACGCTTTCTCGCTCGCTTGCCATGCCACGCCCACCTCATCCCGCCTCCACAGATCAACGAAGCTCTTGAATTGGCGCTGCAAGCTATCGATCGCGAGGCGACAACCAAGCCAATGGACAAGGCACAACATCCGCAGAAGCAGGAGGAGAAGGAGCAGCAGGAGGAGTTGGTCGATCGGCCAGAGGAGGAGGAGGAACCAACTCAGAAAGATGATGAGGAGCAGCAGGAGCAGGAGGAGTCCAATGAGCGGGGGGAATCACACACCGAGGGTGGGGAAATGCCAAATAAAACCGATGAGCAGAAACAGGGGGAACGAGAGCCCATCTATGAGAATGTCAGCTCGACTATATCTATGCATGAAGTAGATAATGAACAGATAGCAACGATGACGATAACCACACAGACCCAGGCGACGCGGAGGAGTCACAGAAGAAGCATTCCAAATAAGCAAACCAGCAACAATAACGAGAATAATCAAAGCCCTAATCAAACCAACAGCAACAGCAACAGCAACAAAAGCAGCAGCAGCAATCAAATGGAGAACAGCACAGCCGCAGCACCAGCAGCAGCCATCGTGCCCCCAGCAATATCTGGAGATGCCGAGCCCTACTACCAGGTGCCCAAGGCCGCGGAGCCGTACTACGATGCCCCGAAGCATTTAAGACCCGTGCCCGTTTACGAAAACATCGAGATCTTCTACTCGGGCCTGGAGATCAGTCAGGGATCAGCGGGAACGCCGGGAACACTGGGGTTGATGGAGCCGCCCAAGGAGAAGCCACCACCACCGCCCACCGAAAGTCCGCCGCCGATCCCGGCGGACGAGGGCCACGACGACGAGCTGGATGGACTGGGCAGCAGTCTGGGCCACAACACCGACACTTGGTCGTCGGACAACACCTACGAGACCATCTCGAATGGCACCCGCAGGCACCTTCAGGGGCAACTGGAACCCGCCCAGCCATCGCCGCCCATCAAGCGGATGAACTCGACCAAGCGCATCAAGAAGGAGCTGCGCAACAAGCGCTCCAGCTTCCTGGGCATCGAAACCGACGGGGACATCGACGACATGGAGACCTACCTGGAGCTCACGGTGGCCCCACCGCCGGACATGGCCCAGCTCTTGCAGGAGGAGCGGCGCCTGGAGAAGCAGCTGTACATCAAGGCGGGACTGTGCGACAGTTCCGACACAGGTTAGTCATTATGTCCCATCAGGTCTTTAAGTACAGTGGGGGTGGGTGAAAGAAAACCGATACCGAAGCCAACAGGGCATAAAAACGAACGACAATAGCAATGAGCAAATCACCCGCTGGACGGGGAAGGGGAAGGGGTGTCGACTGGGGCAGAGGGCACGAGGTGGCCCCCATCTGCCCCCGCGAGGTTAAGTATAAGTAATCCGTTTAGTGTGCGTGGCCCATGGAGCTGCCACAGCTTTGGCTGAGATGCTTCCCCATTCGGGTGATGAACTGTTGAACTAACGAGTGAGGTGGTTAATACATCTGTCAGGTGCAAATTTCCCATTTTCGGTTAATTAAATATAATTGGTACTATTTGCCAATAGTCTTTGTATACTAAGTTAAAAATAATTGGTAGTAAACTAATCTTATATTATAAGTAGCAGGCATATTAGTAATACATAAAAGTAGTAGTAATATAAAAGTTTAGAAATCAAGTTAATTTCTCAAAGAAAGCAGAATGTCTTTTTAATTATTTATTCTCTTCCATTTATACCATTTTTGATCGGGCATTATTACTGATCTAGCAATTGTTAATTGCTTTTAGAAATAGTTGACTCATGTAGGTACTCACAAAGTAAAAACTATAAGCGAACCCAATGTATCCCTTCACTTCCCCTTTTCCTTCTCCAGGAGAAAGTCGCGACTCTGGTGTTTCTGAGAACCACTCACGGCAGAGCAGTGAGCACTATACGAACTCCTCCGAGGAGAACGACACCCAGTCGGAGGCCACGCCCCCGCCGCTGCCCCCGCCCCCGTCGACCGCCCAGTTGGGCGAAGTCATCTACCAGAACGAAAGCCTCCTGGCTGCCCAGACTCCGCTCCTCCAGACGGTCAAGGGCAACTCGGCCGAATCCTGGACGGAGTCGGCGACGGCGGCAGCGGCGGCCACCCAATCGCTGAGCGAGGCCACAGCGACGGCCAATGCCAAGATGCAGTCCATCGAGGACAAGATCCGGGAGCAGGGCGAGGTGTTGCGGGTGGAGCGCGAGCTGCTTCATTTTTCGGTGAGTACATGGGTCGAATTTGATTTGCGCTTTTTTTACGAAACCGTTTAACCAGGTCTACCAAAGATATAATATCCCAATTGGGCCAAAGCTTTTTCAAAGGTCATTTGATTAAAAATACATAACGTTTTTATAAAGTTAAATATATCACTTTTATTGCACAACTGCATTGGTTATATTAACAAACCAAATTGTTTTGTCAAAAATATTGGGAAACCGTGGTTATAATGTAAGCCAAACATAATACCCTTAATTATTTCCGCAGCAGGAGGAACTGAAGCGACAGCGTGAGAACCTGCTCCTCCGTGAGAATCTGGCGCGACGGGAGCTGCAGCACGGAGCGAAGATGCTGATGACGAACAACAGGCGCTCGCTGCAGGATCTGCACCACGGCCTAGGCATCGGCAACGGGATGCTGAGTGCCTTCCAACCGCCGCAGCTCCATCAGCCTCCAATGCCGCCGCCGCATCCGCAGCAGATCTACGCCAACGTGCCGCAGCAGCAGCAACAGGCGCCGCTGTACGCTTACCACCAGATGGACACGGACTACCGCAAGTCCATGTCGGATCTGAACGAGTTCTCCAACCGGCTGATGCTGCCGCCGACGCCCCCCACAAAGCCTCTGAGGGCGATGCAAATGGCCGCCAATGGACATGGCCTGGAGCCGGACTATGCGGTTAGCACGAGGCAGCGCCAGCCGGTGGTCCCATACGGCGGCTCCCTGGTGAAGATCGCTGGGGCACCGATGCCCCCTCGGCCCTCCGGTCCAGGATATCCCGTTCCGGCGTCGGCTGCGGCCGCCTACCATCACCAGTCCGCCCAGAACCTGAGCAACATGTCCAGGAACACTTTGCTCGCCCTGAGTGCCACCCCCAAGCCCAAATACACGGACGGATGGGTGCAGGTGCAGCAGCGGAAGAGCTACGACAGCCACCAGGTCAACGACCCGGCCTGGCTGTCCGCCCAGCAGCAGAAGCGCAAGTCCATGCCGGACTACGGCGGAGCCCTCTACAACAACAACCACTGGCTGCTCCAGGAGGCGGAGCAGCGGCGCATCGAGCAACTCAATCGGCGTTCCATGCCGGCCAGCAAGTCGATGGGCAAACCGCTGCCCGACTCCATCATCCAAACGCTGACGGAACGGGTCCAGAGCAAGGGCATCGGCGAACGAAAGCGGTAAGTAGGCATGGTCTTTGTAAGGAGGCTAGTCCTAAATTACGGGTACCGAAAATTAAATTTATACGACACTGAAACATCTTGAACCAAATTGTACGCTTTTCTAAAAACTCTAATGAAGTTTAGCCCAAAAAGACAAAGCTCTTATAATCTCAATGGATATTGCAAGTGATGTTTATGACGCGATCCAGAATACATATACGAATATGTTTAATAGATCAGTTTACGATATAAAACACTAAATTTGAGAAATCGCATCTAAGGGGGCATTTGAGAATGCCTGTAACGAATAGATAAAATATTTCATTCATAAATCGAATTTTCTACTCCCAACAGCTTCGATGGCAACGGCAATTATAGCCAGGTCAACGGCAACAGCAATGTCTACCAGCAGCAACTGCAGCAGCCGCAGCAGCAACAGCAGAAGTCCAGCATCAACAACGGCGGCAACCTCAACGGCAACGGCAACAGCAACAGCAGCCAGGAGAAGGTGCTCAGCGTCAGTGGCAAGAAGAAGTGCTCCCATTGCGGCGACGAACTAGGTAAACTTTGCTACTACGTTGGTTGTGAGTGTTGCGGTTGTTCTCTTATTTCCCGAACCCTCTATTCATCGTTCATTTTGGTGACATCTTCTAGGCTTGTTGTCACAGCGAGCATCACAAGAATAGCACACACTCGGACTCACTAGTCTCATGGCTGCGTTCTATTGATCATCGAATGCTTTCCCTTCCCCATTAACTGCGAACTGTTTGTCAATAAGTTTATATCTTTCACTTTCATGTCTGTGACAGATCTGGGCTGCACCCACGACAATTGTCGACAAGTGCACAAAGCGCTCAAATATATTGTTTGGGTGTAATTTTAAAAAGACTTGATTAACATAGCTAAAGCCTAACTAAGCGAAATTGTAATATTTAAGGTAAACTATGGATATGGGTTACAATGTATCCGTTTTGGGAGCGGAATTTAGTATCTTAAAAACTACAGCTTAAGTAAAACCATGCTCCTGTTTGCTAACTTTTTGGAAAAATACCATTAAGTTTTTCTCTCAAGCTAACGATATCTCCATATATTCATGCATGCTTAAAGAAATTAAAGAATTTGAATTAATGCTTTTTGCAACACATGGATAACATTTTTTTTTCTATGTTTAAATATATAAAGATCGTTAATCGTTAACTTTTAAAGAATTAGTCCCAACAGGAACAGAGTTAAGGAAAAGATTGGCTAATCTAAGTTATTTCATTACTTAAAGCAAGACAGTCTATCAAAAAGTTTGAATGGAAATATTTAATTTAATTTGATCACTATATTCTCTTGCTGGAAATGAAAACAAAGCTGGTGAAAGGATATTTTCTGCTCCCGGTTTTCCAATATTGTGCAAGTAAAGAAATTATTTCCTAAACTAATGTTGCACTTTTTAACAGGTCGCGGCGCTGCCATGATCATCGAGTCGCTGCTGCTGTTCTACCACATCAACTGCTTCAAGTGCTGCGTCTGCCACGTCCAGTTGGGAGATGGCCTCAATGGAACGGATGTCCGGGTGCGGAACCACAAGCTGCACTGCCAGAACTGTTACTCCAGCGACGATGGCATCAAGTTCAGCTGCGTCTAACTGAGTCCTTGCCAAGGGAATGGAAGTCAATTCGAAGATGGAACTGGGGGTTGTTGTTGTTCTTGTTGCTATTGCAACATTGATTGTTGTTGTTGTACTAGTAATACATAGATACTAACTACTGACGTAATTCGTATGTTTACATATGCATATACACTACATATATCCATGTTGAGAACAAAGTCAAATGCAAAACGTTTCAGATTAGTGTTAATCGCTTCTATATAAGTACGAAATTTTTTGAATGTCTGCATTGCTTTTTGACTCAGATTTTAACTTTTTATATACGATATTCTACATGTTTGAAAATCCGACGTTATACATACATACATATGTTTGAAAAGCCAAGCTCTCTAAAGTTTTACGCCAAGTCAAAGTAAAGTTTCAAAATGCACTTAACATGTGTTTTGAAGAATATTAGACAAAAATATTGAACAAATAGAAAAAAAGTTCTATGAACGTTGTTAAAATTTTGAAATTGTATATTGCCTACATATATATATCTACGACAAATGGAAATTGTACATTTATTTACCAACCAATGCTGATGTTTTCTCTTTTTTCGTCCGAGCCATCGGATACTTCTGAATCTAGCGTTTCTGTGTTTCTATCTATCCTACTCGCCCCAGCCCACATAAAATACCTAACGACGTATCCAATGTACCTAAAACTATATACAAATACCCATCCATACGCAACACACTAACATAAGAGCATATTATATACTTACATTCTACATGAGATGTGCATATAACGTGAAAGATTTAATTTCTAATTGTCGTTATTCTTATTTATTGTAATTAAGCATAAAAATCAAAAATATGTATATTCTATACACTTCTTGAATTTTATGATTAACTTTTAAACTTGATCGGTATATGAATAATTTTTCTGTAAAAATATATCAAAGAATCCATTTGAATTTCGCTTAGTTCTATAATAAAGTATTTCAAAGAAGAAAAATCAGTTTGTTTAACTTTATTGATCCATGTAGTAACAAATCAATGCCTGTATGCTTTTTTTAATGGAATTTGTATATTCTTGCAGTGTCCAGCCAATATCTATATCTACACCCCTGTTAGATATTGTGTGCCCAGGTATAACAATTAATTGAAACTGTCGAGCAAAATGTGTGGTATACTATTAGGCAGCATTACCGTATAGCCGTATATCGTATATATCTGTAGTAAGGTAGATGTATGTTTCAAACTGAGTACCTTTAATTACTAAATCCTTACTTTCATATTAGCTAAGTCACTACGTTTTATTTTGATGTCTCTTTTAATTTTATTGCTAATAAAAATTCTCATGTTTTCCCTAAAAGCTGAAATCTGAATATATTTTAGTCCAACTGAATCGCTTAATAGAAAACAAAACTGATCGAACTGAACTTTTACGTAAAAGACTTTGTTATTGGACTTAAAAGAATTGATATAAACAAGTCCGTTTAATTTGTTTAGATGAGCAATTGTTGATTTAGACATTTTTATGATCTTATATCGGATTTTAAATGGAGAAAACATCTAATTTTGCAGTTTTAGCTTGCAATTAAGACTACTAAAAGGGACCACCTCCGATAAAAAATAATTCTTTTAAAAATGTTCCACAGTTTGGGTCAATCAATCTGACCAGTTTAGTCGATACACATGTTTGGTTTTTCTGGCGATCCAAGCACTTTATTACCCAGACCCGATGATAGAAAACACAATCCAATACAATCTGCATTTACAATTTCGCCGTTAGTAGATATCCCCACTTCGCCACCGATCGCCCTTCTAGGCGGTGGGCAGGAAGGTGAGCTTCTCGTTAAGCTGCAGCTGGGTTTTAATGAGCTGGGAGAGCGTGATGACCAGCAGGAGGTTGCGCACGTTGGCGTTGAACATCTGGGTGAACTGCTCGTGGGTCATGTGCGGCACGGAGTGGATGAGGTCGAGCAGTTGGCGGCCAACGGCGTTGTCCGGCGTCACCTTGTGGGCGATCACGTCGTCAACATACTTGAGGATCAGGTCCAGCAGGGACTGCAGCTTCGTGGAGGCTTCCGAAATCTGAGCGAGGTCCAGCATGGGAGGCACGGTCTTGGGCCGGTGCGCGGGCGACACGCCAACTGTCTTCTGGAGCAGCTTCAGCCCAAAGGTCTCCGGCTCGTAGCTGGTCAGCTCAACGGGAATGGGCGTGAACATGCAGCCGGTCTTGCCGCCGGGCACTCCGAGCTGGATGCAGACGTAGGCGCGCAGGCCCATGCGACCGCCCTGAAGCGAGGTGTCCACGGTGAGGTGCACCGGGTTGTTGCACTCGCGGGCGTAGTACTCGTGGATCACGGAGCTGTGGTTGGTCACGTCGTTGCCGGTGGCCCACCAGCCCACCACGCTCTCGTTGGAGTTGACCTTGCGGTTGAGGTCGTACATGTCCAGGGCGTAGCTCAGCTCGGCCTCCACCTGGTCGTCGTGCTCCTTGTGGGGCACACAGAAGCAGTTGGTAACCTCCACCACTCCCTTGTCCACGGATCCGAGCAGCGTGCCGATGACGCGGTGCGAGTCTGCGTTCCTGCGCTCGAAGGCGTCCACCACCTGGAACAGCACCACCGGGTGCACGCGAACGGTCAGATTGAGGGCCGACATTTCTATTGCTGCTGGCAAAGATTTGCAAGGGAAATTTCCGCAAAAATTTCTACTCAGCCACGCTGCGCGTATGTTTTAGGGATGCAAGAAAGGGCGTATCGATACGGCGGCTGCCTGGCGATAGTTTTGGCGCCTATCGGAAGGTGACTTATCGATAGGGGAAATGCCGATATATCGAGTGCAGTCATGATAGTTTATTGATATGGCGCGAGTTTTTAAATTGATAAATATTTTTTATTAGCTTGCTCCGAAAACTTATAGTATTTAATCCATCCAAATCTAGATAAATTTTGTTGGCTAGATAATGCGCGTATCCATGTATGCTCAGTCTCCTCTGGAGCTTTTTAAATGTAGAAAAGAAAAAAATAATAATAAAAAGTTTTTAGAATATTTAGCACTCTGTAAAACATTTATGTTTTCGGAGTTTGACCACGAAGATTTTTCACTCCCATTTTTTTATGGATTTACATTTTATTTAAAGTTTTTGCTTTAAATAAAAGTAGCTAGATAATGTGCTTATCCATTTATGGCCTGCTCGCTCCGGAGCATTACAAATTTAAAATAAAATTATTATTGAGTCCAATTTTGTTTCGAAACAAATTTTTTAATTTTAAATATTATTTTTTTAATTATAGGCGGTCAAATACACTAAATTAGTAATTTAGAAGGTGAATTTACATCTATTCGAATGTTCAATTCCAGCTTTTGCGAAAATATCAGAAGAAATGATTCAAAAATTGGTACATTCTTTACATATAAACAAATTTTTTTATTAAATACGATTTTTACATAATGCACACATGCATAAATACGCTTGGTATTGTATTTGTATTTCTACTTGAGATTATCCCTTCTAGAATTGGGCTTGCTCGCTGGCATTCTTTATTACTTATCGCGGACACAACAAGCCGTATTCAATGCCAAAATAGGTTCTACCAGACTTCGCACTTCTGAACAGGGTTCATCGGCGAACCCTCTGGACACTGGAAGTCCTTGGCAAAGTCCTTCATATTGCTAAGCGATCCAAGCACACGGAACTCGGATGGCGAGTGCACGCCGGTGGTAATACGCATCTTGAGAGATTCTATGAGGACAGATAAAAAGTACGTAATCACTTAATAAATTATCTTTAAAAAAAATATTGTAATTTTCTTACTAAAGGTGCTTAATAGATATTTTCCATATAAACTATATTTTTGTTTGATAGGTCAAATACTTGCGTATCATACTTAATAGACACCTTTGCTAAAGAAATTTAAATTGATTGCAATTGGATTCGTAATTTAACGAATAATGTTAAAAATATGTACTTTTTGTGTAATTTGTTTTTTGTTATCTCGAGTTCTGGTTAAACGATTTCGACGAAGTATTATAAAACGATCGTATCGATGATACTACAGTTGCTAAAATAAAAAACATTTAAGAATAGCTAGAATAAATTGCACATTGAAAAAACACGCATTAAAACCAACAATATATGAAAATTGCTCGTTTTATAAGAACTTAAGCAAGGGTACAAAAATACTAGTCTTGACCATTCGCAGGTAATTCGATTTTTGAATTTAAAGCTTATGTTTGACAGCTGATGTAGATCTTGCATAAGTTAATAACTAGTAATGATCGATATTTCATACCATGTTTGAAATTCCCTTATTTACCTTTACGATACTTGGCACACCAGGTCTGTCCGGATGATAGCCAGAACATCTGCTCCGGGGTGTAGTCCAGGCCGGGGAGCTTTGGCTCCGGTCCGTGCTTCTCCGCCCATCTGCGGTACGCGATGTACGACTCCTTGACTCCGCCGTTATCGGCTATGTTTTCGCCCTGCGTGTTGATTCCATTGAGCTGTTGAAAAGGGATACTTTAGGATTGGTCCGACCTCCTGAGAAGGATCACTCACGTTCATTCCCGTCGCCTTCTCCGTGTAGTTTCCATACTGCTCGATGATGCATTTCGCCTTGGCCAGATAGGCCTTCTGGGTGTCCGGCTGCCACCAGTCCCGCAGGTTGCCCTTCACATCGAACTGACGACCCTGGTCGTCGAAGCCGTGGGTGATCTCGTGGCCAATGACGTAGCCAATGGCGCCGAAGTTCATGTACTTGGGGCGTTGGGCGTTGAAGAAGTGTCCCTGCAGGATGCCGGCCGGGAATTCTGTTAAAAGAACAAAACGCGCTTAACAACATTTCATAATTTAAAAATATATGTTAATTCTATAATTATAATCTATTATTTTGTAAGTGCAAATTTTAAAGAAATTAAATATAGGTTGGATTTTATAGCAGCAACTTATGGTTTGGCAATTTCGATTTTTCAAAAAAAAAGCAAAAGCTCCCTGAAATCTAACTAACACAACAATATTACGATGTTAAATAGATTAAACCATATCTAAAATAAAAAAGGAAGGAAAAAACATTCATTTTACGAAAACTTCTAAACCTCCTAGATAAATTTATTTCTTAATATTCCACACATTACACCAGACCTGAAATAGTTTGAATGAAATCCTGGCCTTTACCAAATTCTACCCTGTTTCTTTTAAGTTTTCACGGATGCCCAATCGTGTGTTTGTTTCAGAAATGGAGTTCGGGAACGGCCTGATCACTGAGTTGGACTTACGAATACTATTCTCCAGGGAGGAGTAGAAGGCGTTGACGATCGCGGGGCGGGCGTGGCGAACCCAGTCCGTCTTGTTCACTGGCAGGCGCAGTTTGTTGAAGGAGTAGTCGGTGCCGAAGATGTTCATGCCCAGGAAGGACTCGAAGTACTTGTCGGGGTCGATGTCCAGCTTGGCGTAGTACGCGGCCAGCTTCTCGTTGTCGAGCATCTCGTCCGGATAGCCGATGTGGGTGGCCATGCTGTGCAGCTTCTCCTTGGCCTCCTTCTTCGTCTTGGGGTCCATCCAGTTGACCTCGTCCAGGATGTCG